TTGTTTTCCCCCTTTAATTTTTTTTAAAAGTTTTTGGCTGTATCTTTTTCGTTGATACGCTACTAATACACCCCCGATACGCATAAAAAAGATGAAATGTCTGATTTCCATATGTATCCTGTATCGGTTTTTCAAAGATACAATACGATATACCCCGAAATGCTCCATTCCAGTCATAAATGCAAAGTGAGATTAAGGGGCTGTTTGGCATCATTGCCGTTTCCTGGAGCAACGACGCCACATTGGAAAAAACGGTGCTCCAAGAAATAGGCATTTGTTTGGAATCGTTTTTCCATAAAAAATGTGCTCCAAGCCACGCCTCGAAAATTAGGAAGCCATGGTTTGGAGCAACGCCAAATTTGGTGTTTCTTGGAGCTGCAGCTCGTTGATGCCAACAGGGTAGTGATGTGGCACTGGATAATGGGTATCAGTGCTGAAAACATTTCCTGGAGCAATAGTACCAAACATAAAAAAATGTTGTTACAGGAAACGTCCAACCTGACAGCAACGATTCAAAGCAAAAATAAAGGCACCGTTTGTAACTGAGCATTGATGCCAAACATATACCAAGTGGTTGCAGCTGTCTTATGGGTAGAAATGTGAGAATAACTTTGGGAGAATGACTGTTCAACCCACTCAGAATTCTTAATCCTACCGTATAGGTGGAATGGGATTGATGCCAAATCTATGGGTACGATGATGTAATTTCAGAATTCTGCAGTGTACTTATTCAAATAACTTATAGGTAGCCCCTCAGCTGGAACGTAGCCATCATATTCAGTCAACCCGTGTCTCATCCTAGGATGAACACTGGCATCCGGTAACAAATTGGGATTAGCTGAACACGCTGGTTGTGTCCGTGAAATCAATGAGCTGTTGTGTTCAATTAATCCCATCTCTAATTCTCTACCATAGCCGCCGGGTTGTTTCATTGTTTGTATATTTTGTAAATGTAAGAGGGCGGGAAGGCAATGGGGCCTCCCAAGTGACTCATATACTAAGTATCAATAAGGAGATGATCATGCTGATGCTGTTAAGTTGATCCGTCTCAGAGTTCCTAACCCCAAATGACCATTCTGGCTACAATTGTTACCACATTCACACCGAACCAGATGGTTACTTGCATCATTTGGACCAGAAATTGAAGCCAAAACAGTTATTGAGGAGTTAGATTTATTTCTGGAAATATTGATTTGGTTAAACTTATTCCATATGCACGTTACTTTGTTAGCTTTAAATATTTATTATTTTATGTTTGTTTTGATGTCCAACACCTTACCTTTAAGGCCCCATTTACCTGCATAAATGTATTTACTCGTATACTTTTAACTGTAAAATACATCCAATTAGATTAAGACAATTGACCATTTTTTCTTCATATATTTTATTATTAAAATGGATAATATTTTGGCAATTTTTTCCATAAATGGTATAAGTTCATTAATCATTACCATTGGGAGACTAGTACTCGTGGAAAGATCAATTTACCATGAATCCGGCGGATTTCCTGCTTCAACTAAACTGATGATTTACTTCTTTAAAAGTGAAACAGAAAAAGGAATCCTTTCTTTTCTAATGCCTTCTCCCTCCATCGTCATCTCTGAACCAACAAACCTGAACAGCCATAGCAACAAAGCTACCGAAAGTTCGAAACTGATCAGTTAATTAGCAAACTGAATTGTTGAAAAAACTCAAGCAATCTAAAATGTAAAATCCCCCGATTACCAAATTCAAGCTACTATTTTCCGCATAGAAATAACCCAAAAGATGATTTATGAATTAATAAGATAGAAATAAAAATCTTTAAACCTACTTTGAAAAGAACGGTCAATAGGCCCAACAACAGATAAAAAAGTTTAAAATATTTATTAAAAACAAGAGAAGACATTACAGAGTAGACTGATCATCAATAACAAAATAGAAGGTAAACCACAAAAGAACCTCAAGTATGAAAAAAATGGTTAGAAAGAAAAAGAAAAAGAAAAACCAAGAGTTGAGAAATAAAATGGTGGAGATGAAAGGCCGGTCTGCAATCGTTAATGGTGTTTGCACAACTCTGAGGTTCGGTCTGCAAAAGAGTTCCTTGCCTTGTTCTCTCAAATTGTTTTTTTTTTTTAATTTTTCTACTTTTTCTATCTTATTAATTTATTATTATAAAAATATAATGGGCCGTTTAAAATTCCTAGATAGGTGTGCTGGAGGGTCATACAAAGCATGACGTGTTACAATCTCATTGGGTGTGCACCACGGAACACACCAAGCGAGTGCCGGAAATCCGACCTCGTAATTACCGATATGCAAATGCTGATAAGTTGGTCAACTTATCCCCTCCACTTATTGTTGATAAACAAACATGGTCTAAAAATAATATTAAATTATTTTTCTTAATTTTTTACATTTTTATTTGAGATAGTCCAAAGTTCAAGTTCAATTGTGGAACCGTTTAACTTATGACCCCAATGATAAAAAAACTTTCATTTGTCTATATTTGATTTGAGTTGAATTGAGATTGCAACCGGAAATTGGATAGTATTAATAAATTTTAATTTCAAAATGACCAAAATATTATATATTATCAATAAAATGAATTAAAAAAAACTTTGACATTGTCTATCATGAATAAAAGTGTCGGAGGTTATGGGGTACATTTGTAATGTACATAAGTTTTGAATACTTGTATGTATTTATGTGTGGAAGAAGAGCTTGTGTGAAATTCTGATATAATTTGGCCTTTTGTTTATTTAAGCCATTGGTTTGGTGGGTTTAGGATTGAGTGAAAGTGGATATTTTGTTGTGAGTCTATATAAAATTCAATCATATATCTCTTATCCTCGTAATAGATAATTTTTCACTCTCTTCCATGAATATAGTGGATATTTAATTAATGAGCCAAACTACATTAAATCTTGGTGTTTTCTTTATCTCTTCTTTTTCTTCGTCTTATTTTTGTCTTGATTAGTTACTATATCTTATATTAGTTGACAAAAATGGGTTAAAGTAACTTCTTTGAAACTTGAACATATGACTATTTTTTTTTTTTTTTTGATATTTGGTGATACGCATCACTAATTACCCCCTCTCCCCAATGTCTAGGTGGTTGTGGGAATTGAATCCATGTGGACCATGTCTATGCTAGATTGAACCAGCTAATTAACATACCAATTGAGTCACCCCTCAATTGGTAAACATATGACTAATAAAGAAACAAAATTCAAACCACCTATACTAAGAAATGCAATACAAATTTTAAGAATATATATCATTAATGCAATTCATTAACGAAATCAATATGTACACTATTTGGTCGAGAATCAAATCAAAATGGACTATATCAGATTAGATAGGTGTGGATCCATATTCATGAATCAAATTCGGATCCATCAACTTTAATCGGATTGAATTAGAATTTGAATTTGAACAAATGTCCACTCATTATCTTTGATTCTATTTCAGCATCTTATATGTATATTTCAAAATTTTAATATTTTTAATCAATCAATTTACTATATCATATATGTTTGTGATGAATCTATGATGTTGGAAAACTAGGTATCAAGAGCTTTGAACCTTTGACCAATCAAAATTAGGGGTGCAACTTTAGTGGCTTAGGGTTGGGATTTTCTCAAAATTCTAATGGGTCCAACCCAAAGCCCGAACCTGAAATAGTGTAAACTGTTAACTTGGGCCAACCCGAGTTGCACCCCTAATCAAAACCCCTGTGAATTTTGATGAATACCATCAATTGCTTGCTACTTTTATGATGTCGGTTGTTTGGTTACAGGTTTTTCCAGTATCATAGTCGAATCATCTGACTAGATTTTTGTTGTAAATTTTTATTTTTGAAACCATACGGAATATTACCTTTTTTCTAGGGGTGCAACTCGGGTGGGTTTGGTCAGGTTGAAGGTCAGGTTAAAGGTGCAAACCTTTGGGTTCAGGTTTGGCCCAACCTGAGGTCATGCCCAAGTTTATTGATCTAAGTCCAGTCTAAGCTTAATCAAACACAACTCAGATTGGATTGAGCCTAGCTTGTCGGATTGGACGAGTTTGAAAGAATTTATGAATACATTTTTATATGATCATCTTTCATTGAGTTTTATAGCCCAATTTAAGAGCAGAATTGAATGAAAATATATACACATTTTATTTTTTTTTTCGCTTTATTATACAAATTTTATTTAAAATGTGTGTATATATACATGTTTCATACACACACGCACACGTATATCACGCTATCAACCCAAGACCAGTCCAAGGCCAGGTTCGAGTTTTTTTTGTCCGAAGCCTTGTCCACAGCACGAAAATGCAGGCCCAATATATGCAAAAACTCAGATAGGATCGGGTGGGCTCAGGTAAGGCCCACCCAAATTGCACCCCTACCTTTCCTCATATCATATTTTTGCCGTATGCAGATTTACTATGTCTATGGCATGGCACCAAGAGGTCCAAGAGCATCAACAACATTGACAATTTGAGCACAGTTTTAAATGAATGACATGTCAATAAGCTTAGTCAAATTTTACGAAAATTTGGTTGTGTAGAATCGCGGACATGAAATATGAAATATAAATATAAAATTAGTACTATAAGATAATAATAAAAACAATTAAAAAATACCTAAATTTTCAAAAAATTGGAAAATTTAATCATGACCCAAGGGTTGGAAAATGACCTAAGTTTCCAAAATTTTAGACCTTGCAACAACCTACCATTCTACCAAAAGAGTAGAGAATCAGAGAAGAGCTATGTTAAGTTGTTAACCACCTACCTTCACCTAACCTCTCCCTCGCTGGGCTAAATAGCTGCCTTTTTCATCGTCATGTATTTATTAAAGTTTAAATAAAGGAGGAGGCTTTTGTCATCATCATCAATTCTTATTATTAAATCTTAAGAAAAAGGAAGAAAATGATTCAAGAAAAATAACATTAAGTAGTAGAATACCGAAATCTTCTATTGCAATACAAGCATATAGGAGGAGCAGAGGAGGAGAGATACAGGGTTTACTAAAACTGCAAGACAAAGTTACTCAAAGTATCAAACAAGTTATTACCAAAAATATAGTATCAACCAAGCAAACGACAAAGCTTTTGCAGAAATAGCTCTCTGCGAATTAAGAAGGTAGTAATAACGGTTTGTCAGGATTAGACAAGGTATTAGTGCTTGTGGGGTTTGGATTTACCCGAAATGATACAGCTTTCTCTGCTCTAGAGTCCACGGGATGTTTGATAACTTTGATTGGCTTGTGGGTTTGGACGGTCCCGCGCTTTTCGTAGGCTTCACTTGAATTTCCCCAACATCGCATATATAAATAATGAAGAGGTTCTCGACTTGCTGCTTCACAGGTCGAGCGATCTTCAAGACTCATCGAACACCGGGGCATCTGCAGGTAACCTGCTCCGCTTCCTCTATTTATCCCCTGCCGCACTGAACTCTTCTTCTCATTTGTACGTACTCTTACCCACTTTCATCCTCTTTCTTTGGCCTTTGCTGCATTAGGAATCCAGTGATATTATGGAGAATCCACAGACGAGCAATGCCAACAACTATGATTCTGAGGTACAGTTTCTTCCTTAGGTTTCATTTCACTTCTGAATTCTCGTTATTTGTTCAATTTGTTTTGGAGGTGGGGTCTCGTATTCTGCGTTGATTAAGGTTCCAGTCGGAACCGTTGGGTCCTATTGATGAACTGCGTTGATGGGTAATTCAAGCTCCTATGTGTGGCGTTTTGAGTTGTTTCATATTTGTTTCTTTTGATTTCAGTTTTCTTTTACAACTTAGGGGGTGTTCGACAATATGAATGGTTTTGTTTTCAAAAACAAGACCAACCGTCATGTCAGCAAAAAACAATACATTTTTGGCTGATGCAGCAGTTGCTTTTTGCTTTTGAAAACAAAACCATTCACATTGTCGAATACCACCTTTATAAACCGAAGTTTAACAAATTTTATATTGCATTCTACCTAATGGTTCAACGTTCTATATACCAATCCATCATGCCAGAATTAGGCGATGGATTTTGTAAACTCGTGTACTGAAAGGAATTCAAATGGAAGGCAAGCGAGTTGTGGCCTCATGGAGAGTATTGGGTGGAACATGTTTCACATGTTGGCCTTTTAGACTTGGATTTCAACTAAAGCATTCTCATTCCTCTCTTTGATGTGGGATTGGGGGAGAAAATACTAGGCAGGTAGAGGAAAGCCTATACAAACATGAGGCAGGAATAGTGTCCTGCCCGAACATCTAGTATCATGAATCCAGCCCCTTGATAAGCAATACTTATGGACCTTGAACATTGAATTTCTTATTACCTGATGATTTTTCCTTTTAGAGTTCTAGTATTACCAGTTTGTCTCCAAAGTTTAATGCCAAATGAATAGGGTTTTCATTCCTTAGATTGAGGGGACGAACACACACAAACATACACACCAAAGAAGGGCTATTATAAAAAAAAAAAAAAACAAAAGACATGGCCCCCAACAACAAAAACTTAAGAAGGCGAAGAAGCTCCACTATACAAAGAATCTGTATAATCCCCCGATTTAGCTAACCTGTCTGCAACACAGTATTTATTTTCAATGCCTTCATTAACTTTGCTTTCCTATGGCAGAAAGTGAATGGGAACATGATCAATACACAGAGTGGTATTGCAGACAACATTATTCTGAACCATGACTTCTCAGGAGGGCTGCATTCTTGGCACCCCAATTGCTGCAATGGGTATGTTGTTTCAGGACCATCAGGTTACCTTGAAGGCGTGTCATCTATCTCAGGGGGAAGTTATGCCGTCATTACGAATCGAAAGGAATGCTGGCAAGGCTTAGAGCAAGATATTACGCCCAGAGTTTTGCCAGGATCTACTTATAATGTCTCTGCTTGTGTTAGAGTGTTGGGGCCTCTTCAGGGATCAACTGGAGTCCAAGTCACATTGAAACTAGAGTATCCAGACTCAACAACTAGCTATTTGTTTATTGGAAGGTACTGCTATTTCCATTGCTTCAAATAGTTTCCATTTGTTTGAATTCAAATTTGAATTTGATCCAGTTAAGGTGATTGGGGTTCATTTTGTTTGTAATTGGGTTGAATACGGATACAACCTATCAAATCCAATAAGTTGCAATCCAATTTCATTTAAATATATATGCTTACATATATTTAAAATTTATATTGTATCTATTAGTAAAATTGGTTTGAATATTGTATTTTTACTAAAATGTCATAGGTTCAAGTTTCATACAAGTTATTTTCAGTTCATTTTGTTCATGATATACAATATCAAAAGTCATTTCTAGTTCATTTTACTAATAATATATAATATTTTGATAGTTTTAATTTAATTTATTGATGCTATTTAGTATCCGATTGTAATCTGAATTCAGTTTGAACCCAATATAAATCCGATGAATAAGTTTCAATTTGGACCCAAATATTAATGAATCAGATTTGGGTCTAGGTGTATCCGATTCAATCCAATCTGTTTGCAGCCCTAGCTATTTTTTTTTTTAATATCATGGTGTCCTGCCTCTTGGTTTTACATCAATGACATTTGCTGGTTGCAGAGCCCCAGTGTCAAAGGAGCAGTGGGAGAAGGTGGAGGGCACATTCACATTGACAACCATGCCCAGCCGGGTTGTATTTTATTTGGAAGGGCCTTCCCCTGGAGTAGACCTACTTATAGATTCTGTTGTGGTCTCTACTTCCAGTCTCAAAGAGCATAAGGTATACACCTTGTCTAGTTTTTAGTTCTTTACCTGGGTCATAATACATTCAGGCATGTATCCCACCAGGTAGAACAGTACTTTTTTTTTTTTGAGAAGTTTTCCATAACTTGGTGTGGTGGTACAAGTGCCGCATAATTCACATGTTGCAGCCAGGTCAAGCACATATGGCATAAATGCCACATGACTCGCATGTTGCAAGCGAGTCAAATTTATAGAACATAATTAGTTATTATGCTTTCGCTTGGTTTTTGCTCCCATATCAGCAATGGTTCTTCTTTCTTCTTAATTAATTAAGTGATTGCAACTTTTGACTTATTGATTCCTAATTTATGCTTCCTACTTTATCTTCAAAGAGTGCATACCCAAGGTGCTTAACTGATGGAGATGAGAACATTATACTGAACCCTCGTTTTGAGGATGGACTTAATAATTGGTCTGGAAGAGGCTGCAAAATTCTATTACATGACTCCATGGGAGATGGAAAGATAATGCCACTGTCAGGTAAGTTCTTTGCTTCTGCAACAGAACGCACACAGAGCTGGAATGGAATTCAGCAAGAGATCACAGGAAGAGTGCAGAGGAAACTTGCTTATGAGGTCACTACGATGGTCCGGATATTTGGGAACAATGTCAGTAGTGCTGATGTACGAGTAACTTTGTGGGTCCAATCACAGAATCTCCGTGAACAATATATAAGCATTGCCAAGTTAGTTTCCTTTACCTTCTTCAATTTCTGTTATGCCAATTCTTCTTTTGATTATTATCACCATCTTAGCTCTCCTGTGATCAGTCTGCACAAAGAATCCAAAATGCATAATTTCTTGGTGTTCTTTCCTTTGCTGCATTGACTTCTTGACACTTGCCCCTAAATTTCCTCTAATTTCTAAAATGTAGCTGTTTTTTTCCTGAAGTCTGCAGGCATCAGATAAAGATTGGGTACAATTGCAGGGAAAGTTCCTTCTGAATGGGAACCCATCAAGAGTTGTCATTTACCTGGAAGGGCCACCTCCAGGTACTGATATTCTTGTCAATAGTTTAGTAGTAAAACATGCAACGAAAGCCCCTCCTTCACCTCCTCCAGTAATTGAGGTTAGTCATTTATGCAAACCTCTTCTTCTCAGTACATACTATACTTGCATTGATATGAATGAGTTTGCCCTCGAGATTTTTTCCATATATGTGAGATGTCTGATGCAAACCTTCTTATGAGGGTCATTTTTAATGTTCTAAGTATCACATGTATGGTTCTTTGTTTTGTAGAATCCTGCTTTTGGAGTTAATATAGTTGAGAACAGCAATCTTACTGATGGCCTCAATGGGTGGTTTTCTCTTGGCAATTGTACTCTTAGTGTGGGCACTGGTTCTCCTCATCTACTTCCTCCAATGGCAAGAGATTCCCTTGGGCCCCATGAACCTTTAAGTGGCCGCTACATCCTTGTGAGCAATCGCACACAGACCTGGATGGGCCCTGCTCAGATGATCACAGATAAACTAAAACTTTACTTGACATACCAAGTATCTGCTTGGGTTCACATTGGTCCAGGAGCAACTGGTCCTCAAAATGTAAATATTGCGCTTAGTGTAGATAACCAGTGGGTCAATGGGGGCCAAGTTGAAGTTAATGATGATAGGTGGCATGAAATGGCAGGTTCTTTTAGAATTGAGAAGCAACCATCCAAAGTTATGGTCTATATCCAAGGACCATCTTCAGGTGTCAACTTAATGGTTGCAGGGCTTCAAATTTTCCCTGTTGATCGAAAAGCAAGATTTAAACATTTAAAGAAGCAGACTGACAAGGTATTTCTGTTTGTTTCACGAAAAGCTCAGTATATTTCATCTATCATTTCATTTTTTATGCTGTATTCTATATCTTTGGATTGTGTTTTTATATTTTCCAAGGTTTTGGCGTGTAAAACAGCTGATTATGTGAGATTACGGAAACTATAGTGTCACAACTGCTGAGATTGTTCAAAAAATTTGTTCAGTGATATATAGTCAGCTGATTAAAGATTATGAAATTGATTAACCATGGTCTATGGCCATGATCATGGTTAGTTATATATAGGAAACAAAGGCAATTGTTTATCAAACTTTTTATGTGAGATTACTGATTTATCTGGAGGGCTTAATCTATTTTTAATGCTTGAGCTCTGGGTGAGTTGGGTCTTTTCCCTAAAATTCTCTTCTCATGTTAACCATTTGACTATGTTACCCTTTCTGTCCTGCAGATACGTAAGCGAGATGTCATCCTAAAATTTGCAGGATCTGATGTTGGTAATTTGTTTGGCACATTTGTGAAAGTTAGACAAACACAAAACAGTTTCCCATTTGGTTCATGTATCAACAGAACGAATATAGACAATGAAGATTTTGTTGATTTCTTTGTTAAGAATTTCAACTGGGCTGTCTTTGGAAATGAGTTGAAATGGCCCTGGACAGAACCACAACAAGGCAACTTTAACTATAAAGACGCTGACGAGATGTTGGACTTGTGTAAGAGCCACAACATAGAGATTAGGGGTCATTGTATCTTCTGGGAGGTGGAATATACCATCCAGTCATGGGTCCGCTCATTGAACAAAAATGACCTGATGACAGCAGTTCAGAGTCGTCTTAATGGTCTTCTTACACGGTATAAGGGCAAGTTTAGGCACTATGATGTAAACAACGAAATGCTGCATGGTTCTTTCTACCAAGATAGACTGGGAAAAGATACCAGATCATACATGTTCAAGACAGCCCATCAACTGGACACAGATGCCATATTATTTGTGAACGATTACCATGTTGAGGATGGAGATGACACTAGATCGTCTCCAGAGAAGTACATTGAACATATCCTTGACCTGCAAGAACAAGGTGCACCTGTTGGAGGTATAGGAATACAAGGACATATAGATAGCCCAGTTGGGCCTATAGTCAGCAATGCTTTGGATAAACTGGGAATACTTGGTCTACCAATCTGGTTTACAGAGCTAGATGTCTCCTCAATAAACGAGCATGTTAGAGCTGATGACTTGGAGGTCATGCTCCGGGAAGGCTTTGCTCATCCTTCAGTGGAAGGCATAATGCTATGGGGATTCTGGGAGCTCTTTATGAGCAGAGATAACGCACACTTGGTTGATGCAGAAGGTAGTATTAATGAAGCTGGAAAGAGATATCTTTCTCTTAAGAATGAGTGGTTGACTCATGCTCACGGTCACATTGATGATGAAGGAGAGTTCAAATTTAGAGGCTTCCATGGGGCATACGAAATTGAAGTGGTAACGCTTACCAAGAAAATATCAAAGACGTTTGTGGTGGACAAGGGTGAGTCACCTCTGGTGGTCACCATAAACTTATAGTTCCTTGGGCTCGAATTAGTGGTGAATTTTTATTATATTCTCTGTTAATGGTTTTCTGCATGGAACTTAATAAAGGTGATTTTATTTGTTTTTTCTATTGTAACAATGAAGAAAAGAAATAAACTTGTGTTATTACTTTTTTCTTCTTCTACCAAAACTTCTGAGACTGGATAATCGATCATACCCACTTGAGTGAATTGAGTCAGGTTGGTTGGGGGTCAATTCCAATCCCAACTCAAGTCAACTAGGATTCCGTACTCATAACCAATTTAGGAGGGTGGTTCACCTAATCACCTTCACCAAAACAAAAGCAACTACATATTGCTTACAGAACAAATCATGCATGTTTATCAAATAGCCCCACAATTAATGAAGAATCTTGCTTAAACTAGAGTTCAAATGAAAAGGAAAGGGTAATAAATCATTTTAGAATTAAGAGTTTTCACTCTCGATTGGGTTATGGAGCTCTTTGTACACGTATTCTTTGTAGGGGATCCTGCCCCACCAAGGGGTGGGTGGCCATGGATTAATAGGATGTGGGCCCACATACGGTCTAATCAGAACGAATGATTTAAGATTTGTATCCATATCTAGACCCAATTCTTTTACAGAGAAGTAGGGACAGGCCTAATGCAGATCTCTGATTTTCACTGCAAAACTATAAACATTCAAAAGGTCAAAGCCCCACACTCAATACACCCATACCCACCCGTGGCTGAACCGTCATTCTCCCATTATTTTATCGAACTCTAAAGAATATCTAAACAACCGTTATTTCACATTGACTAACATTGCCTTTATTGTTTTAGGTGATGATGTCTGGTATTATGGCTGTTTCGACTTTAAATTCTGCTACATTAGTGTCACTTAAGCCTCTGAGTTTAAATATGAATTTTTTGTTTGATTCAGACTGTCTTGAGCTATAACAATCAGAAAACATTTCTTCACTTCAAGAAACATAAACCAGGGTGTGTTGGGGGAACATCAAAATATCAAATTGATGTTTCTTCCATCAGCTGCCCATTTCAAGAAAATAAAAGACCCATATATATATATATAACATTTATTTTTGGTTCTGTAGGCCCAATACCAAAAAGAATGTTGTTCAATATAAACATCGACCAAAGAAGTTTCATGCCATAATATCTTAAGCATTTGAGCCTAAAGTGGCAATAAATGCTGTTATGACAATTCTGGTTCGTTTTATCCAAGCAATGTATTATTTGATTGGAATGATTCAAGGAAAATTGATCATATTTGGATTTCTATAAAAGTGACTTTTGATTAAAAGTTAAAACAGCTGTGAGGTTTCTTGCTCGCTCTAGGGGGCATTTTCATCATTGTTGTTCTAAGGTGTCATAAACCAAAACAAACAACGAGATCATATTTTCTGCGACAACCCCGAGACCCTCCAGTGAATTTTGAACACAAACACTAACTTAATGTGATATTTTGTCTTTTTCCAAGCACCCTTGTTGCAGGATATGTGTTCTGCAAAGTCCAAACAGTGGGGCACTAGGGGGTTCATTGGGATCCGTGCACCATTCAACTACTTTTCAGATTCCAAGATGAAGACGTTTATCAAGAAATGGACATGGTACCACAAGTAATTCGTGTAAATCATAGCAATTCTTTGCATGAAAATACACTTCAGATAGATGGCTCCTTTGATCCTGATGGACGAGCTTTCATCATCAAACGTGTTTCAGGAGAAACCTCTGCTCAAGGAAAGCCATGCTGGGCGCTATCCAGCTATGATGTAGAACTAAAAGCTCTCATGGATGGGTTGGAGGCAGCTTCGAATCTATTAATACAGACTCTAGTAGTTTATAGCGACTCTGCAAAGCTAGTGAACCTCTTTTCACAGGAAGGAAGACCAAAAGAATGGATAGAGTAGCTGCACTGGAGCAGGTTCAAGACTCTTACATCTTGATTTCAGTACCTTCTTTTTGAACATGTAAATAGATCAAACAATCTAGCTGCTCATACTTTAGCTTATATGGCATGTAAAGGCCAACTAAACATCAGTCATCAAGATGTTTAGTATATTAAGGGAGTTGCGACAGACCTTGGGAGGCTCTTCACACAGCAGTTTCTAGCATTAGACGAGCTGAAAAGCCTGGAATGCTATGAAGCCGTACGTATTTGGTAAAATAAAAACCAGAAAGTTGAAAATAAGCTTACATGAGCCACAAAATCGACTTTCTGGTGAAGCTATTTCTTAAAGCTTCTCTCAAGCGCCTCAGTCAACACAGTTCAATCAATGCAAAAGTCATCCCAAACGGGCTATGACTAATCACTAGTAAATTGTTCAAAGTTCAAACTGTTGGGAGGTGCCAAGTCTAAGTGTGTTTCGTAAACAGTGTTTCTTAAACTCATAATTGAAAGATAATGATCATAGCTTTGCTTTATGCTTTAAAACAATGAACATGAGGGCTCGGGATTATTGTTACCTTAAATAAATTCATCAATCCCTTTTCTGTTTCTTCATTAGTCTCACCAAAATTATTTTATTAATTTATAAAAGAGTAATTGTTAGGGTAAATCTCTAAACTATTGGGATTATAGTTGATAAGGGCAATTTTTAGGCTCTAATATCAATAAAAATAATATTTTTAATAAATTTTCAAAAATAAATTAAATTTTTAAACATAAATAATATCAAATAAGGGTACGAACCATTCATCACCGCTACCGCTGCAACTTTCAGCAACGCAGTGGCAGATCCACCAGTGCTGGCTCTAAAGTGTAGATAAATTCTCTGCCTTAAAAAACCGGTGGCTCCAAAGGTCCCCATCACAAACACATGAGCTATAAAGCCTCTTGTTTACGTTCTGAAAACCGGTACAGAGGTGTCGAAGCAGAACGCTGCTTGTGATCTGCTTAGTCTTTCATTCATCGAAGACAACAAGATCTCTATCGGTGCGTGCGGCACCATCCCGCCATTGGTTTCTTTGCTCCTGAATTGATCGAACGGAAGAAAGACGCGCTTACAACGCTCTACAAGCTTTGCTCGATGAAACAGAACAAAGAGAGGGCCGTTAGCGCGAGAGCCGTGAAATCACTAGTGGTCTTGATTCCGGAGCAGGGGAGCGGTTTGGCGGAGAAGGCGATGGTGGTTCTGAACAGCTTAGCTGCAATTCCAGAGGGAATAGAAGCAATTGCGGAAGAAGGAAGGAATGTGGTTCTAGTGGAAGCGATCGAAGACGGGTCAATGAAAGGAAAGGAGTTTGCTGTATTGACGCTTCTGCAACTCTGTGCGGACAATATGCGCAACATAGGGTTGCTGGTGAGGGAAGGTGGAATCCCTCCGATTGTTGCGCTCTCTCAGACGGGAACAGCTCGAGCCAAACAGAAGGTTCGTTTGTAACGCAAATTGCCCATAGGGTTGCTGGTGACGAATTCTCCCACGGTAGCGTACTCCCCCAGCGCCTTAACGTCGGCACCGCACCTCAGGAATTGAGAAAAGAAGAGCTTGAAGCAAGTGCCCATAACGAATGCAATCGTCAATGAGCCCGAAACAGTCCGATGTAACCGCCACCAGCTAGCCAAAGCGTTTGTCGTTGGGATCTCTAATGCTAAGCAGAACCTATGGAAGATGAAAAACCACCTGATCTCCCATGTGGGCTCTAAACGCCCCAAATAAAAGATGATGAGTTCGTGTATCAGCCCCGACACCACGAACGTCGCTAGTATGGCTGGTAGTGCGGCGAGGCTTCACGTAGGCTCGTATATGGATGCCATGATGTTCCGTCTTCCGTCTTCGTCCCCAGAAGTCCTGTAGTAAGGTGGAGAGGTAGGGATCCTCGAACTGTGCTTCCAGCTCCAGACCAAGCAGGGCACGAGCCAGGTATGCGACAATGGAGAGAATGATTTCCAGGAGGAGGTAAATGTGGAGGCAGTAAAGTGAGGATGACCTTGGGATGCTGCAGATACGAAGGTGGGGAGATTTTGTTCGATGGTCTAAGGAGGAAGGAGATGAACAGTTCTTTTACCCTTTTTTGATATTTTAAAAAAAGTTACTTTATTTTAAAAAGGTTATTTTTATTGATAATAAATCTCAAAAGTTGCTCTTATCGGATATAATCCTTAAACTCCTCCTCCTACTGTTTAGCGTTTAGCGTTTAGCGTAATGACACGCGATACTTATACACACGTGACACCACGTAATGTATGAAGTTTTTCAAAACTCAATTTTGCCCTTCGTCCCTCTCCCTTCTTCTTCACCATCCATCTCCCCGGTGGTAGCTACAGTGAACCACAACCGTTCCACTCCTTGTGCCACCACTATCGTCGTCTGTATCCGACCACGGGAATCATTAGTGCTTTCGACAACCTCAGCTTCTTCACCGTCTTCTCCAACCTCATCTTCTTCACCGTCCTCTTCCCACCAGCAAACGAGTGGCTAGGAGAGATGGATTTCACATGGGTTCCAATACTGTCGCCCTTCTCAACAGTAATACAAGCGACAACTGTTGATCGAAACCAGTACCGCCGAGGGTCATCAGCCACATCGTTAGATTGAAACCAGATCTCGGTCTGGGATGGAGCGTTTGTTCAGTCCCTATCCTCTCTGTACAATAGCAAAAACAAGCTCATCCAATTTCTGATTAAATCTATGAATACGATCCAAAGACGTTCTCATGCGAGTGTAGAAAGTTCCAGGATCTTCACCTTCGGATGCCATCATCTCCACCCTCAAAGGCCATTCCTCTTACGTTTTCTCCCTCGTCCTCGCGGGGAAGTTCCTTTGTAGCAGCTTCTTTGATGAAGAGAAGCTGATGCCCAAGAGCCGTCTCAGACCAACAACGTGGTTGCTGTCGGTAAGGGCACAGTTAAGTCTCTTATAGTCTCCGGCAACCAACTATTCAACGCCCACCAGGACCACAAGATCCGTTCAGAAATCGAAGAAGATCAATTATCTACGTTGAACCCACCGTCTTCCGCCTCCTCATCACTACTGTTGCAATAGCATCTCTATCTCCCTCTCGCTCCTGTTTCATCACTATCGCTGACAAGCTTAGCAAATAGCAACCACCAATTCACAAGAAGCCATAAAAACACAAAACAGAAAAACTTTGATTCCACGACAAATATTAGTATCTGTTGCGGTATACACCACTAGAGCCAGCATAATCCCCACGATATGGCATTCCAAACCTATCCAACCGCCCTGAACCAGGGTACGCTTTGCTGGTGAAGTTGGCATGCAGAACCGAAGCCTTCTGTGAACTTGATCTGAAATCCCCCAAAGGGATCTGACCTTGGCCCTGGATGATTCAGTATTTGCCATGTAATTAGGATAGTCACTGTACCCACTCAAGAAGCTTCTAGAGCAGTTACTCCTACTTGGCGTGAAGGGGCCTCTCCTAGCACTACCAGGCCGCGAAGACGTAGAGAGAAACTAAGGACTGTTACTAGCACTGTCATCAACCTCGTAGGAGAACTTCAGAGGGCTCAAGGTCTGTACCACGAAGCCAAGAGAGTTGTGCCTCTGTTTGTTCTCAAGAACAAGGGGAAATCGATAACTGCAACTCTGTCGCTTTTTCTGTGAAAGACGATTTTGGGTCTGTTCTCGATAGTGAACTCAGCGTTCCGGTAAACCGGTTACCCATTAAAATAACTGATAATAGAACCATTCTCTTCAAACTTTCCCTCTTTTCTTTTAGTTTTTCTGCATAAAAATTTTAACTTGTTGAACTCATTTAGCTTAAGCTTGCGGATGCTGGAGACGGAAACCGCAGGTTATGTTGTACTGGATTCCGAATCGGAAACCGCGGACTGCCGTAAATGTTCCTTTGCAGCAGCTTGGAAGCCAGTATCCCATTAGACTTGCTTCCTGTTGCAATAATCACTGAATTAACTCGTAAATCTCGCCGGTAGTGATTAAAACCCCCGCTGCAATTAAAGATTCACCAGCAGAGGAGCTGAGGGTCGCCACTCGCCATGGGTCACCGTAGTTCTCAGTAAATTATCGGAGGTATGAGCGAGAGAAATTGAGAAATAGAGAAAAAAGAAATAAAATGGTTTTCGTGAGAAGGGTACCGCAAGACAATAAAGGAGAAATGCGTATCGTTAAGCTAAATAGTAGTTCGAGGCTTTCTAAAGGTGACCCATGGGCTTCTGCCTTCAATTGAAGATGGGCCAGGCCTCGAAAACAAGTAATCTGGTCTGGCTTACAAAAAAGACCATAGGAGAGGGAACGAATAAAAACGGAAATCCTTCAAAGCTCAAACTTTTCATTATTCTAGGAGAGGAAGCTCAGAGGACCAAGTTATCCTGAAAGAAAGGCACAAGAGAGATAAAGCAAATCTTCAGAGAGTTGTTCTCTTTCTATAACTTTCTGCTCTGAGAAAACACCTCCAACCAGGACAAAAAGCTTCAAGCTATGTCTAAAGCATGGTATATATTATAAAACATATATCCTTACATACTTAAAACACATGTGCAGAAGGAAAAAAAACCTATACCACAAAGCTCAAGCCGTTGCATTCTGGACTCGGTCGAGTCGATTTTCCTTCTCATCTTGAGTTTAATTTGGATCGGATGGTCACAAGTCATACGAGTTACGTACACAATGTCTGACTCAACGAGAAAGAATGCGACCACGTCTATTTTATGGCCCCACAAGTCAACTGGGTTTACAGCTGAGTCAGCACTGAGTGGCTTTATCTTCAATTATATTTTATTCAAAAGAAAGTTTCCATCTAATCAATTCATCATGATTTATGAGACCCTTTCAACGGCCAAACATTCCTTTGCTTCCCTCTAAAGGTATTTCTTGCTTCGACATGAACTTAACTTCCTTTTGTTTTATTTTTCCTCACAATTTCATCATTCTGAGGTGTCAGCATGCATTACCTATATATATATATATATATTTGCTATCCTTATTCCTTCAATTCATACAACACGGTAGACAGAAAAGGAACCATGACTAAGAATTGCAGACTAACTGTCTTCATTGGGCTTCTTGTCGTGAATTTGGTCCAAAATTCACTCTCTTCTGTTGTGTCTGTTGGAGACTTCAACAAGGATTTCTACGTGATGTGGTCTCCTAATCATGTAAACACTTCTGCTGATGGGCGAACAAGGAGCTTGATTCTTGACAAAGACTCAGGTAATTTGAACCAGGAAAAAAAAAACACATGCACCAAGACAAGAAGCTTATTTAATTAAATCAATGCATATTTTCTGGTTTGCTAATTGAGTAGAGTATTTCGTAGGTGCTGGTTTTGCTTCCAATGAGATGTTCTTGTTTGGGGAGATTGACATGCAAATCAAGCTGGTACCAGGTCATTCAGCAGGCACAGTCGTAGCCTTTTATGTAAGTGAAATCCATTTAAATTTCTTCTTCTTCTTCTTCTTCTTCTTCTTCTTCTTCTTATTTGATTGAATATACTTTGGTTATGGAAATGCAGCTAACCTCGGATCAACCTAACCGAGATGAGATAGATTTTGAATTCCTGGGCAATGTGACGGGGCAGCCATATATCCTCCAAACCAATGTGTTTGCTGATGGGTTCGATAACAGGGAGGAAAGAATCCATCTGTGGTTTGATCCAACCAAAGACTTCCACACCTATTCAATCCTATGGAACCTCCACCAAATTGTGTAAGTCATTTCCGTAAGTTTGGCACTTGGATTACATATTCTAGTCCTTTTTATTAAGTTATTTCGCCAATAATATTGAGTTAAAAGAGATGGGCCCATCATGGGTCAACACATTGAGAACCATCCTATCCTACCTGGGGGTGGGGCTAAGATCCATTACGCCAGAATGGCCCATCGCCACCCAAATCCATCATATCATATACCCTTGTTTCAGAAGCAACGAACATAACTGAAATTCCCCATCTGATCTAATATATATATAATCATGAGACTTGATTGTGTTGTGTTTGCAGATTCATGGTGGACTGGGTACCCATCAGAGTGTATAGAAACCATGCAGACAAGGGAGTTGCTTTTCCAAGGTGGCAACCAATGGGCATCAAAATCAGCCTATGGAACGGTGACAGTTGGGCAACACGTGGTGGACGCGATAAGGTTGACTGGTCAAAGGGTCCCTTCATAGCCTCATTCAGGAACTATAAAATTGATGCCTGTATTTGGAAAGGGAATGCAAGGTTTTGTAGGGCTGACAGCACCACCAATTGGTGGAACAAGGACCGCTATAGCACTCTAACATCAACACAGAGGAGGCTGTTCAAATGGGTTAGGAAGTACTTTCTCATCTATGATTATTGCCTAGACAACATCAGATTCCAAAACAACTTGCCAAGAGAATGCTCTCTTCCCAAGTATTGATCAATTAAAGGGAATCTTTCGGCTTTAATTACTTTTATCATGCATATTTCTTCTTCTTATTTTTTTATTTTTTTGGGTGTTCATTGGGAGGGCAACCTTTTGGCCATTACTTCTGTCTATGGTCACGGCTGCAATAAATCTTTCTTTCTGCATATGTGATCCCATGGATGTATAACTTAAACATTAAGCGAATTCATGGATAGTTAAATATATAAATATGCTTATATATTAGAATTTTCATTAAAATTATATTTAGATTTTGAATTATTTAAATATTCAAAAAAAGTACAGAATTTTCTTTCATAGAAAATTTATACTACATTCACTTTTTATAATATATATACATATATATATATAGAGAGAGTATACATGCATTATAGTATTATATTTGTATAAAATTGTATATTTTAATAGATTATACCTGCATTCACGTATAAAATACGTCAACTTTTTTAGTTCTACTTTTTTTGAAGATAACGTATTAAATACATATACATTAATTCCCTCAATGTTCTATATGTCTCTCATTTTTTATCAAATCAAACATACCCTAAGTTTTTGAGGAGGTTATGAGGCCCTCAATTGCTTGCTTTGGCTGATTTTTTTTTTTTTTTTTGGGATAAAAAATCGCTTTGGCTGAAGTTGGGGTGATTACTATGACCTCAAAATATTTATTATTTGATTATTTTATTTATTAAGTTATAAAGCAATAAATGATTCAACTCAGCAACTTATGATCAAAGGTACCCTTAGTTAATGATTCAGCCCAAAGTTGAAAATTTCGTCATGTATCAATGTGTATCATATCATGTCAGCGCCACCCCAATATACTAAATATTAAGTTTAATATTTGATGTTTTTAATATTTTCAGGGCCGGGTAGGCCTTGCTAAGACCGGCTCTTGTCAATCTAAAAAAAAAAAAGAAACTGAATAAAGTGTATCGATATTTTGAATCATGATTGATTCATAAATCACTTTAAATCCAAGGTTTTTAAAACTGAATTAGACAATAAACTGCTCAGGGGTCCAGTTCCCGGGTCAAAGAGTCCGATTGTTTCAAACCAAATGGATAGCCTATTCTGACAAAAAAAAAATAATAATAATCAAAACGGTTGAATGGTTCGAACAGTTTAACTGTCTAAATTAATGATTTACTGACCAAATCAACAATTTTTGGCAAAATAACAGTTCTGAGATAAAACGGACCTGACCAGTTCCTAATTTTTCCGATCCGGTTTTGAAGAGCATGCTCAAATCATGAAATCACCATCTACAAGATTACAAAAAACCAGAGGGAGGTTCCTCCGGATGCTCTATTATTGTACGTGTACCATATACTAACTTCATTATGGGCCACGACCCACTAATATTATTCAATTAATTCAATCCGTGTGGGACTCCCTAGTTCAGTTAGGTACGTGGATAAGGAAGGGAAGGGACTTCACACTTATGTGCCATTGTCATCAATATAACTACCCTAAATTAAGGCCAAGACCTCTCATTATTTAATTCAACCCCTAACCCAAACTATTCAGTTCATTGCTTCTACTATTGTACATTCATCCATTATTTATTACTAATTCATTCTTTCCTTTAATATTCATATATCACCAATTTCAATCTACCTGGCACACATGAGCATCTAGTTGTTCATACTTCATTCTAACAGTCAATCCACTGGACGTCCCTCATATCATCAGAACTTTCTATCACATTTTACACGGATGGGTTTGGGTCCGGTCAGAATTCCTGAAACCCTCCCTTCACTAGAAAAAGCCTTATGTTGACCTGGACCCAGGTGGGCCGAGCTGGGTTCAGGTTGAATAAACTGCCCATCTGAAACCGACCTGATCGTTACTTTGGCAGATGGAGCCAAAGATTACCACAGCCCCATATGCCTTTGCTATTTGCTGAATCCTTGTCCACTTATTAGGCCTGGATTACCATCATGGGCCTAAACAACCATTCTGAGGGCTGAGGCACCCAATTTCTTTTCTCTATATGCATCTTGGGTATCCATCTATCCCTCTCCTACGATAAAGGGATGAAAGAGGCTTTAAAGGAGTCTAGCTCGAAAGAATCCAAGAAACGTTAATTGGAAGTGAAGACGAGAGGTTGGACCTTTCAAATTTTTTTTTTCTCTTATAATTATAAAAATTTTTGAGTAGGGGTGGAGAATCCTCCAAACGGCTCCTTTTCTTTCTTCCATCATATATCTATCACATAGACACAGGACACAGTTCTTTCCTTGTGTCTGTTAGATCTTATCGTATAAATTATAAAAAGAACCCAAGAAACGAACGGCCACAAATCTAATGCAGATAAGGGTTTAGTAATTGGTATTGTTGGGTAGTCAAATCTCGAGAGACCAATTCTTATTTCATTTTTAAGCGTATAGCGCTGTTGCTCTCTCTCTCTCATATGGGGTGTGCTCTTATTAACTGTCATGCTTTCTCATGCCTAGAGGGACTGGCGACCTACCATTAACTCGTTTTTTTTTCTTAACAAGAATCTACAGATCATGTGGTTAATAACCATTTGATCATACTGGTTAATGGTGGGGCACGCAATCTCTTGATTTACTAATACCTTACTCGCTATGGATGAAGGGAAGTGGGCCAGGAAAACTGGCCCACCTAACACCACTAGATCGGACGGTCGACTGGCCGAGTATCGCCTTGGTTTTGCAATTCTAGAATTGCAGTATGAGTGGATTATGAATCCTAACTCCAAATAAAATCAATAAATAGGCAGGAAAAAGAAAATTGGATTTCCGACACGAAACGTCAGGTCGGGCCGGGGCTGGGCCAGTGTGGTGTAGTTACGAGCCACAAGGCCACAAGCCCACAATCGTCGTTCTCGTTCACCACTCACTAACGGCTAGCGTCTTCACTTCACTTCAAAATAGTCTGATCAGTCATCATGTATGGAAGCCAACCAAAATTGAACACGTGGCTTGGCTTAATGTGCATGATCCAGCTGTTAGGGAAAGAAACTTAAATATAATATAAAACGTAAGAGCGTCGGCAGTGGACCACTTGCAAACGACGTGTCGATGATTGGGCAGGAGAAAGGATTCCTTTCCTCGTAATTATCTTTTCTCGTTGTTTATGAGATCAAAGGTTGTAGGGTTTAAGAAGAGGATGAGGAGGGGAGGAGTGATGGATGGATAATAATAGGATGATAAAGACGAGGGGTTGGGGGTGGGGTGATAGATATAGAGTAGGATTGATAGCTCTTCTTATCAATTATTAAATTATAATTATTCATTTAAAGGAATATGTAGATTGACAACTCATTCTTCTCCCTCTCTTCATTTAATTACCTTTTTTCCACTTTTAATTCTACCTTAAGGGGTGTTTTAGTGTGGATGAAAAATTAGTGGATGTAAACTGGTCTATACTATATCCTGTGATAGAGATTAATCTGTATCATATCATAGTTCACAGCTGTTCTGAACTGTGAACAAACTGTATAGATTCAACCAGTCCACACCCACATTGGTGTTCTGTAGTGTAGTGTGGACCAGTCCATACCACACTTTTTTGATTCCATGTATTTCATGTACATTTCATGAATGATCTACACCAACATTTTAAAAAATGAAATGGAAATAAAACCGTTATACCCACTGGTTTCTAGGTTGATGGTCTGACCGTCCGATTCGAATGGATGTTTCGTTATGACAAACAAATTAAAAAAATAATTAAAAATAAAAAACGGTAAAAAACCGTTGAATAGGTTGATGGTTTAACCGCTTGGATCAACGGGTTGCTGACTTTTTCAACAGTTTTTAGCCAAAAATTGGGTTTAGGGTAAAATGGAACCGCTTGCTTAGACGGTTCCCGGGCTGAACAGTACGACCGTCCAGGTCAACGACGGTTAAAAAACCTTGATCTACATAGTTAATCATAAATAGATAATTTTTGGATTTTATATGATAAATATATTGAAAAATGCATCAATGAATTAATATTAACCAATAAATATTAATTATTTTATAAAAATAATAGTAAAATAATTAAAATTTTAAAAAATATATTTTAAATATTTAAAATATAATTTTATTGATAAAATATTAAAATAAAAAATTAAATAAAATAATTAATATTTTATTGATAAAAATATTAAAATGTGAAACAAACAATAGGTAGCCTTTCAGGGAAAGTGTGAAGTAGGGGATCAAAATTCAAGTGTGGATGGTCCCCAACCATGAAATTTTTTCGTGGAAGAGAAATTGGGGTGTGGACGGGACCTGTCCACGCTGTATTGGGGTGTGGATAGGACCGGTCCCATCCACACCTAGCCGAACACGACCAAATCTTGTGGATGGGATTTAAGCGGTTCAGAGCATCACCTAAATTGCTGAAACCTTCTTAAAGTTTTCGACTGTTGCTGAAATTTTTCCTGAAGTTTGATAATTACAATTACCTTCACTGAACTTTGTGACATGGTTGCAAGTAGACCCCCTTTTGTTAAAATTCTCTGAAAAGGGGCATAAAAATGGTCAATATACCAATGAAGTTACTTTTCATCAAAATGTTTTTTCATATTTTCTCTTCATATGAATGGTTAGCTCAAACCCTTCCAATCTCTTTCTTTTTCTGAAATTGATTTGTTTTCCAAATTTGACTTTCATATCAATCATTAAGGCTATGTTTGGTTTGAAGGAAAAGGAAGGGAAAGACAGGAACCTATACAAGGTTTGCAAAGGTTTTCCTACCTTTCCCTTCTTTTCCCTGTATTTTCCTTCAAACCAAACATAGCCTAAAGATAAAACTACAACTTTAAATTCTCTTTTTTTTTATTGATATTATTTTTATGTAGAAACCAGCCTCAATAGTAATTGTATGGATATTTTAGACATTTTCATGCCTCTTATTAGGGGATTTTAAGAAAAGGGGTCTAGTTGCAATAAGTGTGTCAAAAAGCTCAGAGGAGGTGATTGCAATTACCAAACTTCATGGAAGATTTCAACAATTTACCTAAATAATAATAATAATAATGATAATAAAACAATTTTTTTGTGATAGTATATTACAAATCACTACGGATCATCTGCATTTTTGGGAAGTCTCGATAAGTCCACACCATTTTATTTCACGACAAAGAAGCTCTACGTTACTTTTACACGGGCCATAGCTTGATCAGATTAAACCCTCTGTCCGTCTGTCTGTCTCTCTCTCTCTCTAACCTGAAATGGTGCGCAAATCTCAATAAAGGATCTCTTCTCTCTAAAGTTTACCATTTTTACCTCTAATCCATAATAAAAAGATTAACCCTCTCTTTCTCCTCATCTCTGCACATCCATCCCAACCTAAAAGCTAAAGCTGTTAGGTAAGTCATTCAACCTAAAATCTTAGGTTTGAAGTGTGGATAAGCACAAACCTATCCATACCTTCTTGTGCTAAAATTTAAACTACGTAGTCCAACAGGCTTTAATATCATTATCTCAAAAAATCATTCAATCTAAAAGTTTAAACTATGAGGTGAGGTTCTTGAATAGATTTTTACTCTCTCTCCTCCTGTAATTGAGTCATCCCATAGATTGAAAAACGCTGAAGTTGTGCATCAATCATGTTCTCCTCATCTTCATTGTTGGATGAGGGAGAGAGAGAGAGATTGATAAGCCACTTTTGAGTGACAGCATATGTTTTAAACTTGTTGGAATTTTTATTGAGTTGAAATGCAATCAATCAAAAGTGATTAACATACAAATCCAATGAAGAGAACCAAAATTATGATAACATGCCAAACAGGAGTATAGGGAGCTTTTTCGTGGGGTTAGGACTTGATAGGTCCCATATTGGGAAAAAAAAAATTCCCCATAGCCAATCAAATGAGATGGATATTCTCTCAACCATCATTAGCATTTACTACTTGTCTATACTTCTACGTTCTACTTGAGCATTTTTGTTCCTAGCACAAATACTATTATTTTAGCCACAAATCATCAAGATGGATGATTTTAAGCAGTGCTTTAAAAGTTAACCTGGACGTTGATCCATTTTTTTCCCTCTCGCTCGCAAGCCAGCGGTTCAACCGTTAAGGTCAAATGAATCAACTTATAAAATTAAAATACAACTATATATGCAGAAAATATAATTATTATTGTAGAAAATAATTTTCACTAAATACATAATAAAGGCCTCACACACGATCCACTGTCAGGGTCAAGCGGGTGAGAGTTCGACCATCTGGGTCAATGGTAGTTTGGGGTTAAAACGAACCAGAATTGTTACCCGGCCGGTGACGGTTCGAGTATGACAGTAATGATTCTTTTAGCCAAGTGATGTTCACTGTGTAGATCAAGGAACTGGCCATATATACCATTTTAACAAAAGAGTAGGGTACCCACCAAAAACAAAATGCACCCCCCTCAAATATCCAGATTGGAAATTTAAATGGGTCAAACCCATTTTCCGGTAGATGTCTTCAATTGTATCCAATCACTTGAATTTGCAACAAGCTTGTTTTTAACTTTATATTCCATCCATTATAGAAATAGTAAGTTCGTTAAAATCATCTGTACTGTACTTATCAATGAGAAGAAACAGACGAGAGAGAAGGGTTGTAGACAGTTGGGTAGGGAGGCGATGGTGGTAGGGCCAGGGACGGCTTGCCATTAGCTGGACGAAGAGCAAAGTTGATATGGCGCTTTCAACTTAATGCAGCAGTCTCCATCGCTTCTCCTCCTCCACTCTCCACTGTATAAAAAGCCCCCACGCCACCACTCTACTCAAATCATACAAACACACACCAAGGCTTAGGCTTAGGCTTCAGCTACCCAAGACCTTTTCGTCTCTCTCTTGATCCATCGATCCCCCCCACCCATACATTTTGTTTAAATATTTTGGTTTGGCGTGGTAGGGGTTGGTTGGTTCCATCTATACTACATCATTACCAACATGGCCACAGCCACACGCAGCTTGTTAAAACTAATGTTAGTGCACATCTTTAGTTTGGTTGTCTCGGTCTGGGCTCGCCCCGTTACCTTCCTCCAGGATTTCCGTATTACGTGGGCTGATAGCCATATCAGGCAAATCGAAGGAGGGCGGTCCATTCAACTCATCCTTGACCAAAATTCAGGTATATATCTTTTCTTTATTAGCTAGTATAGTGATGATGAGGTCAACCTGCCGCTGGGGGCCGGGTATCCTCGTTCGATTCATGAACTCAATTCCCGCTTTAATTTGTGTATTGTATTGCGTTTTTCATGCATTACAGGATGTGGGTTTGCCTCCAAAAATCAATATTTGTTTGGGCGTGTCAGCATGAAGATCAAACTCATACCTGGCGACTCCGCCGGAACTGTCACTGCCTTCTATGTGCGTCTCTTTCTGGGTTATTACTTCGCTTTCATTTCTTCCTCTCCATATATGCGTACGCTTATTAATTTTGTTGACTTCTTTTCTGTTCTACTAGATGAATTCAGACACCGATACTGTGCGCGACGAATTGGACTTCGAGTTCTTAGGCAATAGAACTGGGCAGCCTTACACTGTCCAGACCAATGTCTATGTCCATGGGAAGGGTGACCGGGAACAGAGGATCAACCTCTGGTTCGACCCTGCTGCAGAATACCACACTTACTCTATTCTATGGAACCACTACCATGTTGTGTAAGTTCAAAACTGTATCATATTTATATATATGAAAAGTTGTATTAATTATTTATTGCTTGTTTGTTTTTTCTTTTCGCAAATAAATGACTGGATGGATCCATGAAATTAAGATGCCCTTTTAATTAATGGCTACTGTTATAAAAATTAATATTGAATGGTGGGTGGGTGGGTGTACAGCTTCTATGTGGATGACGTGCCCATTCGAGTATACAAGAACAACGAGGCCAAGGGCCTCCCCTTTCCCAAATTCCAACCCATGGGAGTCTACTCTACATTGTGGGAAGCCGACGACTGGGCAACGAGGGGCGGACTGGAGAAGATCGACTGGACCAAAGCTCCCTTCTACGCCTACTACAAAGACTTCGACATAGAAGGATGCGCGGCGCCCGGAGCTGCGAGCTGCGCCTCAAATCCCAACAACTGGTGGGAGGGCGCTGGTTATCAGAAATTGGACGAATTGCAGGCTAGAAAATACAGGTGGGTTCGCATGAACCACATGATCTACGACTACTGCGTTGATAAGTCTCGTTACCCGGTCACCCCACCAGAATGCTTGGCCGGCATCTGAATGATCATGAATGCATCAAACAACTGGACTGGACATATGCCATTCAATTCATCATCTCTCATGAAAGCCTATGCCATATATATGTATATATACCAATAAATGTGTAATTAATTAGAATATAAGCTCTCTGGATTTATGTGTTCAAATGTGGCCCAACCTATATATAGGCGTAGGTCGATATCTATTTGTGGTTCCACGTGTTTGTTTGGTATGAATTTGTTTATATATATATATATATAAATATACATATATATCAATAAAGGCTTTGGAAAGAGTGTGAAAATGATAATGACTTACAAATTAACTCATCGTATATATATATTGGCAAAATAGCCCAATGGCCTTTGGAAGGAGTGTGAAAATGAAATACACGAGAGTTAGATGATGACAGATGACAAGATCAGTGGAACAACACAAACTAACTAGCTAGGTAAATATATAGAACTCGGCTTCACTAAGTGTAAGGCCCGTTCCAACGGGCCCTTGTTGCCTTGCATTGAGAACATCTCTCTATGAAATATATAAATATAGAGATATTCCCAGTGTAAGGCTGTAAAAGCTGTTCAAACGGCCAACGAGCCTTACATTGACTGAAGCCCATCTCGAATATATTTTGTGAGACTCCAAAAGTTCACATTCCATGGGAATTGCATAACTTAAAACTATGTTTGGATAAATTTTACTTTTAAGTTTTGGAGTGCTGAGAGAAACAAATTAAAATGAATTGCAATATGTTTGTAAGCGTTTTTTTGGTGGGAATTGCTTTTTAAAGACATAATAATAATCTAAAACCAAAACAGTGCACAAAGCCTAAATTAGGGCTTTATTTATGCTTTTAGGCTTTAAAAGCACAAAGTATGAAATTATCCAGACACCCTTAATTAATTAACCAACTACAACACGGAATTATTGTCTAGGAAAGTTAGAAAAAGAGGTTCCAGCATTTATCTCAAACAATCTAGTTGCTGGCTGCTAATACTTATACTAGTCCAAAGGGGGCCAAGGGACCGGTGGGTATTTAAATATATTTACCTTGTCGTTTTCTTGCCGGTTTAAATTGAGAGTTTCTAACCCAATTAGTTGCCAATGGCAACCTCTAGACGGGTGCATATGACCGCCGGCAACCACTACGCCTAGGGCTGTCAACGGGTCAGTCTGGGTTGGAACCTGATAAAACCAGTTTCGAACCGATAAAAAAATCTATGGACCCAGACCCTGGTCTGTAATTTGGGACCCAGAACCGAATTGATCGGTCTTGGGATAATCAGGTCCAACCCGATGGAGATGGATCCAATTATAATAAGTATTTTGAAAAAAGAAAGAAAATAATATCCTTATTATTGAACTAACAAAGAAATTAAAAGCAACCAACTTATTTCCCAAGAGAAACCCACTGTTTTTCTTGAAATAAAATAAGAATGGGAGGGAGGGATGATCAAAATGGGGGTGGGGTCCCTTTTTTTCTCATAAGAAATCGAAGGAGAAAATGACACTATTGGTATCGTATGAAACTATAAGCAATGGCGGAGAGAGAATGAAGATACATACCTGTGCTGACTCACTGATTTTGTGTCTCTGTGAGGAGAAAACAACGGTGAGGCCTTGATCATGAGAGATTGCTGACAGGCGAACAGACGGACAGCGTCGGCCTTTCCTTCTTTGTTTGGCGTCGGTCTTTCTCTGTTCACAGAATCGCAGCTCGTTGTTCAGCGTCGGAGGTCGGCATTCAGCCTTTCTTTCTCTATTTTCCCAAGTTTCAGACTTTGCCTTTCGATGAGAAGAAATGAAAGGGACGCAAATGTGTAATGGCATTTCGGTAGGGTTTTGAAAGAAAACCATTTTAGACAAAATTAAATATTATATGTATATAATTTATTATATATTTAATAATACATATATAATTATAAATTAACTCGATTCTGGTCTAATCGGTTCGGGACATGATGGACCCGGTTCTGATCTGTATCGGGACAAACTCTAGAACCAGAACCGGTCTAATCTATCCAGGTCCTTTGGGTGAGACCCAACCCATTGACAACCCTAACTACGCCCAATGGGTGAAGCTGGTTAATTTAATGGAACTTGTGTGAATCAAAGGACCAGCAGTGGACTGTGGACCACATACACAGATTCTGTTGATTTCTCTCATCACTTGAAATTTGTAAAACCTTTGTTGACTTATGTATGCATGATTAGGGTCGTTGGTGATGCATGAACTCGGGAAGCATACACTTTAAGCGGAAATCTCTCTCATCTTCTTTACACTGTGCATGCATAGCTCCATCAAGCATTCTAAACTTTTGCCATGGACGACTGAATTAAGGTCCCTATTACTGTATTACCTACCTCTCTCTCTCTAAGCAACTGGGTAAACAGAGATTTCCTTGTTAACACCATTCCTAACTAGACCGGCCGGCGTGCTTCCCTTTGATATATAAGTTGCCTGTCATTCCGATTTCCGACTTGAGAGAGGAAGCAGATGGAGGAGAGCCTCAGTCCAAACTAAATTGGTGAGTCTGGAAGACAAAGAAGGGTAAATTACTAAATTTACAATGACCCCCCCGTACCATGGGATTAGTGACAAAGACCATGCACTTTTTTTTTAACAAAACCCCCCCCTGAACTTTGGTCGTTAGACAAAGACCTCTTTCATTAGCGTTTCGTCAATTAACTTTAAAAAAGATTCTCATGTGACTGTATATTTTTCTAAATGCCTAAACTACCTTTTTTTTTTTAATTTATTTCACATTTTTGTTTAATTCATCAAGTCATTTCACCACCGTCCCATCAGATAACACGTTGTCCTCTGTTGCCTCCTTGATGTCCCCGGGAACCGGCAGATATAAAGCATGAGTGTAAACCATATTCTTCATCTTGTCGTATACGGGTGCTATTGGACGTTAGAAGGATTTGCAGTGAGAGGACTTGACGGACACCAAAAGGACGATGATGAACAAAGGTTCGAGACGGGGAGTGTCTCAGAATTTCTGCAATCCAGTCATCCAATCAGTGCAATATAAGCAGCTTGAGATCATGGTGGTTTCATATGCAATTTCGTAATGGAATGATGAACTGGTGATCAAGACAATAGGTAATCAATGAATGGTGAAGGATGGATATAAGCTTGTTCCTTGGTGGAGTATAATTGAGTAAATGAAAACTGAAAACTCATCTTCAAGAGGACTGAACAATATGTTAAAGAATACCAGGAGAAAGAGCTAATCAGATTGAAGCGCAAGGCCAAGCTGAAAGATGATTTCTATGTCCGTGGTATCAATGCAATGTGTTTTTGAAAGTAGACAAAGCAACTATGAATGTGTTGCATTAGGGTTGAATAAACAGTATATTGCTTTGACCGATAATTGTATAATTGAACAGGCCCTAGGAAAGTATGGGATCATCTACATGGAAGATCGGATCCATGAGATCATTACAGTAGGGCCCCACTTCAAGGAGGCAAACAATTTTCTTTGGCCATTCATGTTAAGTGCTCCATCTAGAGCTTGAAGAAGAAGAGAAAGCATTATGATGAAGGTGGGGATGCTGGAAATCGGGAAGATTATATCAATGAACTTATTAAGAGGAAGAACTAGTGGCGAAACCTTTCTAAAGCTATAATCCTCTTGTTGGTTCTTAATCAATTTCCAGTTTTTGTAGAGACTTTGATTTGGTTTTAGCCTTTTAGGTGATGAGATGAACATCAACCCTTAGATTCTGACGCTAGAGGTTATGTCAAGTACTGCTGAAAGACCCAAAGTAGCTGGAAGAAAATTTTCTAAAAGTTCACCACTTAAACCTGTTAATGTCAAGTGGACCTCACCAATTACCATGGAACAAATCCTCAACAAAGGATAGTAACCCAAAAGAGGCGTTTATAAGATTAGCTAGTTTGATGCGTTGGTTCAAGATCACTGGTCAAGGTGGCTAATTTGATTGATACCCACCAAACCAAATTAGCCAATGTGGAAGTGGAGGAGGGAATATGTTGGCACAGTACGTGGCGTTGGGCTTCTTTTTGGGACCTACGAATCAAGTTTCCATGTAAAGAATGAAGTTTTTTGTAGTTGCACTTTGCCGGAGATTTTTTCCTTTTCCTTTTCCGGCGAGAAAGTCATATTTCTCACCAAAGAAAATTGGATTTTTTTTTTCTTTTTTTCTGACGATGATTAAAAGTATTTTTGGGTCAGTTAGGTTTTAAGAGAGAATGACAAAAGAGAAAATAGAGAAAGCTTAATGGGATATTTTAGTAATTTAATACTTTCGGTCATCTGATTTAACGGTCGAGGGGTCTCTGTCTAACGGCCAAAGTTCAAAAGGGCCTTTGTCGCAAAAAAAAAAAAGAAAATGCAGGGGGTCTTTGTCAATTGTCACTAACCCCCCATAGTACAGGGGTTTTTTTATAATTTACCAAAAAAAAGTGGTTGAAGAAAATGAATTGAATTGGGCCAATTAGTTGGGGCGCCAAGTCCTGATGATGTATGTGGCGTACGTAGCGGGAGGGGCCCTGATATTTGACTCGATTCATTTCTTCCCTCTGCAAAAAGCCAAGGACAGGGGAATCTATTTACACCACCAACGTGAAAATACTCTAATTTGATAATTTTGGACTTTGGACGTTTCCATGGCGAAAACAAACAAACAAACATTATTGTTCCAACCGTTTCCACGTCAGTGCTTATTCAATTGCATGAAGAAAATCTTGTCCTTTGAAAATCACCACAAGTGCAAAAATAAATATAAGCACGACAAATTAAGATTTCTTTTTTTTTTTTTTATAATTTTATTTTTACCATGGTAAAATTTACATGGAAGCTACAGCTTTCAAAAGGCAAGTATTTATTGGAGTAATAATTACCAATGCGATGTGGTGGTGGCCTGGTGCTGGTGAGTGGTAACTGTATATATTGAGGTTACAGTACTTGACCAATCCAGAGGCTCCTCTACCCAATCAACTCTTTGGATCTGCCACGTCATCCTTCCACGTGGCATAACATTTATAAGGAAAATCTTATTCCAACATATATCCTCACTCACTTGAATCAAAGAAAGGGTCCTTGGAATGTATATACTTGGGCAGTATATACTTCTCAAAACAAATCAAGTGTTTCTTTTTTTCCAATTTTTTTATTCCCCAAAACCCATTGAAATTTGTATCCTTTGCATTGGTTGAACTTTTGGGTTTGGCATTTATACTCAAACCTGTACCGAGACAGATCATACTACCAGCCCAGTCCATGAAATCCATAAAATACAATGAGAAAAAGAAGAAAACGAAACCAAATGCTGGAGAAATTTATTTGAAAAGTAAGTTACAGAGGAAAATTTGCTTCTACAAGACTATGACAATCACCCGTATCAGAGGAGAGATCGAGTTTGAATTTGTTATGCAGATTCTTCATTTACGAGTGAGGCCCACATCCAAACTGTGGGGACTGGGGAACAGTCAATAGTGTAATGGCAGTGACAGCGAAATAAAGGGAGTGCAAAAGAGTTGATCATTTAGCCCAACCCTACTTGACATTACGCACCCTGTGTATCGTCTTTTTCGTCCAGTTAACACCTATTGTCCCAATCAACAATATCGTACAATAGATTGAGTCTCTTGGTCGAATCCCGATTTTCTCCTTCCAAACTGAGACCAGGAGGATTCCAGATTTACTCATAGAATCTTCCTCCAAACCCACCTCATAGCATGTTACAGCTGCATATGGAGAACATCTCTTGTACTTGTATGTTTTCATTCATGTTGGATGCACACGGGACCTTTCACAATACATCAACTAAAATATGACCTTGCAGGAGAAAGTAGGATTTAAGAATAGATGATATCACAAAACTAATTGGTTCTGCACACCAACTCCACAGCATATTGCAGCCATACATTAGAAACATCTCCCATGAATGACAACATATAAGTACGTACGGAAGATGCTCTCAATGTGTGCCTACAATGTACTGTAGGGCTGGTATGGGGAGCCAATTTGGACTCATGATATCAAAATTAACAACCTATTCCCGTGGGTGAGGTTGCGGAGTTTCAAATCTAGTCTCTATAGCCATTGCAGCCATGCATTGGGAGTACTTCTCTTGTCCATCACAGCAAGATGTTCCCAATGTACAACTGTAATGACTGTTAGGACTGATTGTTATGACCCTGTGTTGGGAGCAGATCTGGACTTGAGGTGAGGCAGGGGGTATTGTAGCTTGTGTTGGTACAAAATGCATAGTAACATTAACAACCTAGTCTTGGGTGCTTTCCTTGGCAATAAGCAATTCAAGATTTGTAGAAAAATAAATTGAGAGTAATTTCCCCTTTTAAGCTGAATTTGAATTCTTCATACGGGTTTTTCATTTGCATTTGTGTAAATGAGATTGCATTGCAAACAAACAAGGCCTTGGATTTGGATTCAAATTTCCTGAGTTCATATCTGCTCCCAACACTGTCCCAAGAAGCCATTAACATCACCCCTTGGGAACATAAGCCATTAACTTCCCAATGTGTGGTTGTTGGGACAGGAGCGTTTTAGTTGGTAACATAAGAAGAGAGAGTATTGGGCCAATGGGCAATACGATAGACAAGGGTGGTCGCCCATTCCACCCAGGCCATGCTGCATGTTGCCATGTTAGTAGGTTTCGAAAGCAATACATATCCATCCATAAAATCATCATGTTTTTGTGGAATCAAGGGATAATCAAAATTCACAAACTCAAATATGTATAATAATGAGCCCACTTTAATTTGAATAGGAACAGTACATTTTACTTGATTAGATAAATTAAGCAACGAAAAAGTGTGACGCCTTTAGACAAGATTTTGTTTGCAAGATATAACCGAGTTGCAATTTACTTCTAGTTGAAATTTTGAAATTGGGCTCCAAACTATGTTAATGTTACCCAGACAAGGCAAGGACACAGATACTGATACAGTATATTGGATACAAAATTTACACTAAAAGTATTCAACATATCCCGGTATAATTACTGTCATAGGACTAGGAGGTTCCAGAACACAATAAACCTTATGCCATACCATATATACTACTAGCCTTTGGTGTTAACTTTGACTGCAACTGGCTCTGAACAGTATGGGCAATTCCCGAACAACACATCAAATGATCTGCACGATGAGCATCCCAAGAAAAATAAGGGACAGGATACATGGAATACAACAGGAGCACGGCTACAAGATAGCCAACTACATGAGCCCTCACCCCAAAAAATAGAAAGATTTTGAAGCACACAAACCAATTCAAAGCCAAATAGGACACACTGGAAGATAACATACTGTCGTGTTGTTGTGATGGAACGCAGCCAATCTGCAAGACACACGCTATGGAATGCCTTACAGCATTTTATATTTTCACAAGCATAGTCGGGACCACTTCCACTCCTAGCTCCAAGCTCATCATCTTTTTTCACCAGCAAACAACCATTGATAAATAAAGTATTTTAATTGGTTGAAATTTCTATAGCAGGTTTTCCAGCCTTACCAACTGGAAGATACTGAGCATAACATATCCCACATTCAACTTGTTTATCATCCTTTTGGACATCTTGAGGTCCTGGTAGTGGCATTTCCAATGTACTTGCAAGATTTTCATTGAATGGTTTGTCCTTCATCCTACATCAAGAACTGTTTCATGATTTTGGTGGATATTAGCAGAAGAGAAGGAAAATGTATTAAACAAGGAAAATAGGAAATGCCTAAACACAAACAATCGTTTGAAGCTTCTACCAAGCTGGTAATGCCAGGCATAGATGTAGATCACAACTTCTAACTTCGTAGATAGACTAGTTCATCTATTGATCTATAAAACCTCAGGCAAGCTACTGCACTCAGTCAAACCAGCCTTTAATAAAATATCTGAAGAATGAAATAGATGTATTCATCCTCAATATTCCTTTCAGCAACAATAAATAGGAATAAAGCAAAAAACAAAGAAAAGGTTGTTTAATGTGGTCAATGGTGTTTTAAAAGTGCATGTGGCTTACACCTTGAGGTATGCATCGGAATATACATTGAAGCTCAAATGAAGGACCCAAAAATATAACTCACATTCCTCAAACCTTGATATGCCTTGTGTGTTATGTGTGAATTTATATGTATATTTGTGCTTGTCTCCATGTTTCAAAGTATCAATATGCCTGATAAAAAAAAAAATTGTGTACTGCACAATTCAGAGGGGCAATACACTTGGAAAAAAAAAAAATCTAGCTTTTGAAAATTGAGCCAGGACATCTTTAGGAGGGGTATTACTATTCAAAAGTGGTCAGATGTCCTAGTTTTCAAGATTTAGCATATTGGTAACTCTGAAATCTGATACAATATGCCCGATACACCCAGTATCATATTGATACTTTGAATCATTCTTGTCTCTATGCTTCAACATATTAAAAACCATCTTTCCTAAATAAGCATATTTAAACCCATTCTGAGGTATAATTTAACATTTATAGATTTTTAACATTGATTAGTGGATTAAAAGAATTTGACAGCATTCTTTTTTTTTTCCTGAAGTTCATGATGTTCTTATAGTCCTCGTATGTGTGAACAGTTATTCATTTATATGCTTTTCCTATATAACAATATACTTCTCTAGTGCATATTTCTATGTTTTTCCCCATCTTAGTTTCATAATTTTCTTAGAAATTGGTTATCCATCGATAATTTCCCATGATTCCTACTTGTAGGAACATACCTTCCTGAGATTCAGGCTCAGTTTGGTACGAGTACAAATACAAATATCTACTGTGCAAATACATACAAAATACAAGGTTTTGCACTCTACAAATTTGTATTTTTGTACTCCTTCCAAACTGAGACTCAAAGTCATACTGTCCGGGTTTCAGCATTGTTGGTTTTAAACTCATAGTCATGGATTACATTCTGATTCTGCATATCCAAATCAATTATTACAGTTTTTTATAAATCATGGGAGTTGAGGAATTCAATGACTGAGGCATTATCAGATATTTCATAGCCTTATGTATTCCTAAAAATGATATTATCAAATAAACCAAGCAGAACTGCATGCTCATGTATCTGTTAAAGGCCAGTACTTCCTATCCATAGCAATAGCATGCAAGTAAATAAACCATGCAATTATTAGCACAAGACAATTATTAAAGATTTATGAAAGACAGAAAGAGGGACTTATATTATACCATCTTTTGCTATTTCTCCTCCATTTCTTTATCATGGAATCTACCACCAAATGTGGACCCAAAAAGCGACATCTACCAAAAAAAAAAATCAAGATTCCATATGAACAATTAGATAGTGCCAGCAGCACTGTTAGTCATATCCAGGTGAATTCTTACTCTGGTAAAGACCTTGGATCCAAGGCATCTATAGACAACACTACTCTGCAATCATTTCCTATGCAAATTCAGGTATTGGATAAGGTTAACTAAGATGATTTAAAGATCAGAAAAAATAAGCCAAAAAAGTGCAACCACTCAGAGTCCCCACCTAGGTTGATCTTGCGAAATGATGTAGAGCGGGCAGGCTGTCTTGGATCAATAACCCAAAGAGTTCTGTCAATGTTTTCCATGGTAGACCAGAATCCTTGAAGGTTCTCCAAATGCTGGGTATAAATAATGCAGATTCAATGGTCAAACAAGAATTCATAAGCATATATGTCAGCAAATTGGCAGACTGCATCCTCCAATGAGTAGGGCAAGCAATTAAAGGATCATATATAACTTGCTTTCCAAGCTTGCTGAAAATACCTCACGAAATTGGTGCACAATATCTCTCAATCTTGAGTTTATTGACCACTTTAACTCACAGATGTAAGGCATATCCTGCAGGGTACCAAATAATAAAGATGCATGGGCTAGTAAATTTCAAGCACCTAAATATAATTAAAGAAAACCAACCGCTGCAATTGAAGGTGCACATTTAGGATAATTTTGTGGCAACTGTATTTCCATGATATGAACTCGTCCCTTCATATCTCTAGCATCCAAAATCAGCAAGCCTAGGAAATTAATTCAAGATTCAAGACAAGCAAGTACAAGTAAAGAAGATAAATGAAAAGAAATCACAAAATCAAGGAAAGACTGTTTCACAGGTAAATGGAATATTTAATAATTTAGGAAGATTGACTTTTTTTGTTGATTTGTGGTAAAAGCTGGTTTTTTTTTTTCCTTCAGTAAAATGGGCGTTTGCTTTAGTAAATGATAACCTTTAGCATCTTTATATTCAGTACTCACAATTAGTTTGATAAAGAGCATATATATCCTAACCACCGGAAACTAATGTGTATTGTCCAGGAAAATTAAATTTAAAACGACAATTTGTGGGTGCATTAGAAAATAGCAAGAGTTTTCACTGCATTCAACCCCATTTTAATATTTTGCATGGGGGGGGGGGGGGTGAGGGGAGGGGGGAGAATAACATCGATTGTAATATTTTATAGGTGAATGCTAGTTTCACAAGCTTGACATCACAATCCTTAAATCACAAAAAAGATACAATGTAACAATCCATAACCCCCTATATTTGTACAAAACAGAAGTTTAAGTTTTGCCCCTTTTCACTTCATTCAACCCCATTTTAGTATTTTGCATGGAGGGGCCAGAACAGCATAAACTATAATATTTTGCAGAATGCTATTGTCACAAGCAGTTTAGATTTTGCCCTTTTGTGATTTAAGGGCTCCTTGACAAACAAGGTCTGTAATTCTGTAGTTGGTCTATCTTATACGTTAAGGATAAATGGACATCTATCAACACCCTTAAGATTACCTTCATTATCATTGAAAGCTTTTTGGAGCTAGAAAAGAATGAAGATAAAAGTACAACATTTTTTAACTAGTATCAAACATGCTCCCATGCTAAAAGAAAAAAATGGCACAGTTTTGAAATACAGATTCATCCTGAAGAGCATGTCAATTGGTTATCAGCTGGAGGTGGCAGAGGAGAGTGTGAGAGGGTCAATGGTTGCTTAGGGAGTCAAAGTTTTTGGTTGCCACCCTGAACAACTTGTTTAGATGGATTCCATGATCAGCTAATACTCCAGTTGACTTCTCTTGCAAGAAGCCAAGAATTAAGGTGATTAGACAGAACCTTGTGGGGTGGGGGCCTAGGAGGTACAGCCTACAGAAGGGGGCCTTTTCATTAATAAAAGGGTCGTTTACTAAGATACCCCCAAAGTTTCATGTAATTACTAAGACCTATCCTATAGTTTGCAAATTTAAGATACCCCCCAACACACTTTCCGAGCGCTTTACTTATTGCTGGTTCTCTTAGATAGAAGTGTAAAATGACATTTTTGACCTCAATGACTGTTTAACCAAAATAATTAAAAGAAAAGAAATAACTGAAATATCAATTTGAAATAACAGAAAATAAAACATGAAATAACATAGATAATATTAGGAAAATAACAAAAAAATAATAAATTAAAATAGAAAAAAAGGAAGATAAAAATAAAATAGACAATTAAGAATATTGTTCTATTATTGTCTATTTTAGTTTTATTTTATCTGTTATCTTCTTTTAATTTTTTTGTTCTTTCATACTATCTTTTGTTTTAGCTTTAGAATAAAATAATGTTGAGGGAGAATTATATTTCCAAAAGGGTGATATGAGACTTTTTATGGGTATTTTCGGAATAAAAAAAGCATTCCCTAATGAATATTCAAACAGTTCCTAACAGCAGTGCATTAAGTAAAGCAGTTGTAAAGTAGAGGGGGTGTCTTAGAGACATGGAAACCATACGGTAAGTCTTAGTATTTAAATGAAACTATAGGGGGTGTCTTAGTAAATGACCTTTAATAGAATTCCTTGATGAAAATTTTAAGGGCAAGTTAATAACACATCAAAAAACTATTTTCTGTAAAATCAATGACAAGGTTTGACAGTTTATGTCATGGACTGTCTCTATGATCTGGCCAATTAGAACTTAGATTAGCCAACCAGTAAAGAGGATATTAAGAAAACCCAAGAGATTTCTAGGGACTCCTAAGTATGGTTGCAAATGGACCAGATTTAAACCGAATCAAATTCAAACCCGATTCAAGTCGGATTTGGATACATGTTTATCTATAATAGGATCAAATCGAATCTAAAATGTGATCCCTTTATTAATTGGATTGAATTTGTGTATTGCTTGATCTGATCCGTTAGGATTATATGCACATATATAAAATATTATTTTTAGTCTTAAAATTCTTTATACTTATATTGGATCTAGGATTTAGACAAGGTTCAAAGTATTGATACAATACGCGTTTCGGCAGTATCGTATCGGTACTTAGAAACGCTTGATACTCTTTTTTTTTAATTTTTTTTCAAAGTTTGGTTTTTTTGGGAAACTAAAAACATGTTTTTTAATTAAAAAAAGTTGGGGTTCCGAAACACCTGGAAACAGGCGTTTCAGTATCGTTTTCAAAAGATATGATATGATACGCCTGATACGGGGCGTATCTTATCGATATTTTAAACCTTGGATTTAGATAAACTTATTTTTTCATTTATGGTATATATTTTTATTTCATATTTAATTAAAAATTTGGGGATTTAGGTCCCTGATGGGGAACTCGTCTCTGTTGGGGATCGGGGATGGAGGCTAAAGTTTTTCCTCGATGGGGATTAATTTAAAAGTCAAGGTCAAGGACGGGGAATATGATCCCTGCCCCATTGCCGTTCCTACGTATTGGGTTTTGTTTTTTGTTTTCTTTTTTTTCTGAGAAAAGATAAGTTTCATTAAGAGCCGGGGGGGGNTAGCCAGAGGCATTATGTTTACCTCAAATGTGCCTATATTTTCCTGGGGGATGTTGTTCTTACAGCAGTTTATCTCATCAATCGGATTCCCTCACGGATTCTTGAYATGAAACCTCCATTTACCCTTTTATACCCTGATAAAGAATTGTTTACCATTCCACTCAAAACCTTTGGGCGCACTTGCTTCGTTCAAATCCTTGGCCCCCATCGTTCCAAATTTGATCTTAAGGCCTCCAAATGTATTTTCCTTGGTTATGCCCAAACTCAAAAGGGATATTGTTATTATAAACCCACTTTTGGAAAAAGATTTGTTTCAATGGATGTCACCTTCTTTGAGGATAAACCCTATTATCCAAGGGTTTCTCCTCAGGGGGAGAATAGTGAGGCTAGGAGCAGCTCATCAGAAGTTCCTTTACCAATCCCATTAAGTGAAGAAGGGTGTAATGGGGAAGGTTGTCAAAGATGCAGGAATGTGAGTCTATCACAAACGATGGAAACAGGTTGATTTCGGACATCAGCAGTGCAGGCCAATCCCAATCTCCTCTGCAGATCCAGATCCCAGTACCACAGTATCGTGACCCTTCATATCTGTTTTACCATTTTCTTATCCCTCTTTTGCCTAGTAGATTCTCAATTTGTGCCCTTTAACATTTCCTTCAAATTTTGGTAAATAATTCACTACCAGATTGTGTGCATTACATCATTAACAAGTCCAATAAAAGCAGGGGAAAAAACGGGATTCAAAGGGACGAACTGGTTAAAAACCAATTATCCAAACTATTAAAGAAAATGTCCTTGCTTCAAATCGAAACTTAACTTGTAACACCAAGCAAAAGAACAGTAAAATGATCACAACATTTCTTTTTCTCTTACAGAAAGGACTTCTGAGAGAAGTACCATCAACTAGATTAATAACATTATGAGGTGTAGAGATAAATAGCTTCAACTGCTTACACAACTCAAGTTTATATTAGAACATATAAAACCACTAGACCAACAAAAAAAAAAGAAAAAGTTAACAATCAAAAAAAATAAACAAAAAAAGTAAAATATTAGGATGTAATATGAAGAAGAACAAGAACATGATGATGATGGAGAGAAAGACCTCCGTCATTTATTCAAGAGCACTGCAATTAACAGGTTCAATCCCACTTTGAGAATTCTCGTGAATGATATGAAATTTATTCATTCTAAAGAACATTATTCGGAGGTAATATTAACGAGTTTCAAGGAAATTAACTGGGGAAATTGAAGGCAGAAAGGAAAGACCGACCTGAATTTACTTGTGTGTAGTTTTGGAAGGCTTTCGGCAAATGCTGCCTTGTGAACAGGATATTCCGGTGGGAAGGGCTGAAAGCTTTGTTAAAGTAAGTAACAAAAACTCAGGTGGAATTTGGGATTTAGATAAACATACTTTTCTATTTGTAAAAAATCAGGTTCAAGTAGATGTCCGGATATGTGAACAATTTAATATCCAATTCCAGCCTCTCAAATTCTAGGGATGCAATCGAATTGTATTGAATTCGAACCAGGGTATATTCAAATCTGATCTGTTTATGTCAGATCCAATCCGATTGGATTTGATAGGACTCGATTTGAATTCAAATCCTATCGGTAAGTCGGATCATCAGATATGATCCGATCCGACTTATTTTCTTTAAAAAATAATAAATTATTCAAAGAAAAATAAAATATTCAAATTTAAATAAAGTAAAAAAACGAAAAAAATACAAGTATTTTATTATTTTCATCATGTATATACATGTTTCTATAAAAAAAGTAAATAATATAACAAATTTATAAAAATATATTTATAAATAAATAACATATATATTATAAATATATCGGATCTTCTTGAATTGGATATGGGTGATCCGATCCCGATCCGATTTTCTGGTCGGATCTTATTGAGGGGGTTGATTCGAATTCAACCAAATAGGATTAGATATCAAATCGGATCATGATAAATTATTTATCATATTTGATATACCCCAGTTTGGAATCGATTCAGTTGATTTGTATCCCTAGATTCATTAATTTATTAACGAAGTATAATTTATCCAATCAGAGGACTTCACATGTATCTTAATCTGGGGAATATGATCCCTGCCCCATTGCCATTCCTCAATGGGGATTAATTTAAAAGTCAGAGTCAGGGACGGGGAATATGATCCCTGCCCCATTGCCATTCCTACACATTGGGTTTTGTTTTTTGGTTTTTTTTTTTCTGAGAAAAGATAAGTTTCATTAAGAGAGGAGGGGGGAGAGGGCATGTACATAAGAGGATGTACAAAAGGGCCAAGAAGAGCCAGAAACAGAAATTACAATGGCAAAGTGTTAGCACCATACAAAAAGCCCTATCCACCCCTGATTTAGCTAAAGAATCAGCCATAACATTTGAATCCCTTGGGACCCATCTGAAGGAGCAAGAAAGATAAGCTGAAAGATCTCAGATTTCATTTAGCAAATGTGCTGATCTCCAAGGCCCCACCTCCTGATTTGAGGCCCAACGAATTGCAACTCTAGAGTCACCCCTCACAACAGTGGGGGTGGTTTGGATGGATTTAGCAACCCTTAACCCCACAAGGAGCTCTGACTTCGGTTTCAGTAGCATCCACAGCACCAATGGGTCTGCTGTAAGCCCACAGGACAATACCAACAGAATTAATGATAAGGCCACCAATCCATGCCAAACATTGAGGTCAGAAATACCCCTGCAGCTACTATCAAATTTCAGGATAAACTCACAATTTGGCCTAGGAATTGGCTTTGGGTGGGGCTGAGGGTCTAACCTAACTGATTGAAGGATGTTAAAAAAAATTCCTATCCATATCCCCACTGGAGATGCTCAGATCTCCCTCTAAACTGTTTACAGGTGAGCATCCAAGAATTAAATAGATCCAGTGCTCAATAGCTCTTCAGTAGATTCTGCCCCAGATGCCAACTTGCACATGGGCCATCAAATAATGAAGTCAGGCTAATCAGCTACATTGTTAGAGGAATGCAGTGGAAGCCACAACCATGGATCATGTCAAAAAAAAACAAAACGCCATACACTACAAGCTGCCATGTGGTTAATGAGAAAATAGCCAATAGACTCGCCATCCTTCATACACATCACACAAACATATGGTGACATGCATAACTGATCACTTCTTTTCCTTCGAATCATGTCACAAATATTGATGCAAGCACAAACAATTTCTTCCCACATGAAGAACAAGACTTTATTAGGGACAGATGAGAGCCAAAGCCTTCTTGTCAGGAGGGAGGAGGTAGAGGAGCCAGCTGTGAGATGGTGGAAAAAGGATTTAGTGGAAAAGGTACAATTGGGAGTAGGGGACTAGATTCTTCAATGAGGAGAAAGGAAAACTTCATTTAAAGACATCAAGAGAGAAGAAATCTCTCGGGCTTCAGAGTCAGAAAGGGCTTTCTGGATATTAAAGTTAAAGGATAATCCTTGATTCCCTCTAGACATCAATAAGGAGGCCAAGGCATCTCTATTCAGACTCCAGCTCTACTGTTCACACGGCTGTGTATCAAGGGCTGCGTAATCAATCATGAGTGAACATGTCAGTGTTCCTTGTGGGCCCCATGTGTAGGGAACACTGGCATGTTTACTCATGATTGATTAGTAGCCTGTTATACACACTGTGCAAACAGCAGTTTCTGATGCCTCTATTCAAGAGTAAACGGAACAAGATAGGGTAGATGGAAAAAGGCTGAGAACCCCACCAAAGATCAGTCCAAATTTTGATGAAATCTCCATCACCCAAGCCGAACCTCAAAAAAGGGAAAAGAAAGAGAAAGTTTGAACAATACCTGTCCAAGCGTGAGACACAGAGACTCTATTCTGCACCAGATTGATTCTCAACTATTTCTATTCCCCCTTGTCTTTTTGATGAATGTAGTTTCATACTTTCATTTTTGGATAAAGTCTTCCTTGATGCAGATTGGATGGGCTTAATGACATCAGTGGTATCTCAGGCACAAAGCACCCCCAAATTGTTGTCCAAGGGAGCCTAATTTGATTCTAGACCAAAGACCAAAGAAATCCTTATCTATATACCAAGATTAAGACCCTACAACCAGCCTGCTTAGCATAAATAGATAAGAACGATAACTGGAAAAACATTCCTTAAGTATGTTATATTTTTTCTTTTTATCATTATTGTGTCAATGGCCACAACAAAGGTTCAACTCAATCAATATCAATGGACAAATGTGTTGCATAACAAAATCAGCTGTTTGCTAATCAAGATGTACAAATTCAAGTCAGTGTAATGAATTGATTGAGAAAACTAAATGGAAATACAAAATCCTTGCAAACTGCAGCATTGTACAACTGGGATGTACACCTGAAACTAAGAAAATAGCAATCTGTTTACAAAAAATAAATAATATAAAAACAAAAAAAAATGATAAAAATGACTTAAAATCAATCCTGTTGAAAGGTTTATGGATAGACAGCCAAGAAAATAACTTTCCAAACAATTTCCTTGCTAACAATTCATCTTGGCAGGTTTCCTTGTTTCATTTAAAGTAAGCCAAAAAGTGAAGAAAACTATCTCCCTGAAATTGTGAACATCCAAAATAAATCAAAGGAGCGAAGGCCTATTTCCTGGTTTTCCCAAAGCAATTCTTAAAAAGTGCTTTCTTGCTCACCTATTTATAGAAAGCTAAATCTCAAGGAGGATTTTCATCAAATGTAAAGAAGTTTGATTCAAATAGCACTGTCATTGACAGATATGATTTATGACTTTGCTTGTATTGATAGTAAATCATATATATGTAGCATTATTTTCAAAGATGCATTAATTGCACTTCTGGGACCAAGAATGTTTGCATGACCACCTCACACTTCAAAAACATATGTTCCTTTTTCACAGTTTTTGGGAGGAGGTATTCCATATCTTTATTGTTGAATGCCTTCCTTTAAACTGCTATCTCCGGACCCTATCCAAATATGGCTTGAATCCATTGAACAGCACATGCAACAAAGGTGTTTAAAATAAGCTGCACATTACAACCTTCTTTGGTATAGTGATTTACATGCAAATACAAGAAATATGTAAAATAGAAAACCCAAAATTATGTCATGATGATGAAAAGAAATTCTAAATGGAATTATAATTTCTTTCTTACAAGATACGGAAGCTAACAGAGGTTAGGTCTTCATCCAACTTTACCAGACGTTCCCATCCAACTTCTTCTACCTGTACCAATAAAATATTCCACAACTGCCACAATTGTTAGAAGCTGAATCCCATTTTATATCTGTTCATCCTGTTGCAAAGCATGTCTAAATCCACTCAGATTAATATATGTATGTGTGCATATATCAAAATTAGACGAAATTATAAAGGAAGACCTAGCTACCAGTTGCTCAAAGGCCTAAACATGATAGGATCAATGCGAAAAGGGAAATATGACTAGAAATAAAAGGATATTACCCAATGCAAGTTGCTCAACAAGTGCAGGAATGTAATAGAAACCACTTGTAGGCATTTAACAAACAACAATAGTTGTGTATGTCAAAGCCCTTAATGTTTTCATGGTTCATAAAAAAAGGATGGCAATTATAAAATGAGAAATCATGTATAGACAGATTTACCAATTGAGTACACTTAATCACAATATGCATAACTTGTCCTTCCCCCTTTCAGAATTAGAAGTATGATATTGTTGGCGATGAATTTAGAATCAAAAACAGTCCATTACCTCTGTAACTAGCATACCCAATTTAACTCGGTCTTAATCCCAACTATTTGGGGTGGGCTACATGAAATTATATGGTTGCAACCAATGCGTTTTTAACCAGAAGAAAAGCAAGAAACTGTATACTTGCTAACATCTGTAACCTTAAAACACTAGGAGGTGCATACATCAAATTTTTCCACAATGTATAAGGAAAATGTTGGGTAAAGACAAGATAAGAAGACAAGGATAAGTGGATAACTATAAGTTAATCAATGTGCAAGCATTTCTACAAATTCAAAGTAGGAGACTTTTCTAAGTTTATCAGAGAGGAGCATTCCTAAATTTATAGAGGTAATTATTAAAATCTAGAGGCAATCGCTTGATGCAAGGGTAAAATATTGGGGTGACAAGTGTGAGAACACAAATTCGAGTATTGGAGCAGCCACTTCATGCAAGAAAATGCCAAAGGTTGGTCCATATCCAGTTCACCCCTCCCAAGTCCCAATTCCTTGGATAGCCAGGACAAATGTTTGGCTATAGCCACGGCCCTTCTATAAATAATAAAAAAAATCATAAATGCTACATATTATTATCTAGCATTTGAAGCTTGAATGATATATTATTTCCATAAGGGCGCCAAAAAAGCCTCAAGAAAGCACTATACCTCTGAATACACTGAGCGGTAGAAAGATGAAGACTGTGCCAGTTTCCTGCATCTTGCTTGCTCATCATATTCCTACAAGTAATAGAAACACACTGTGAGAGGTAGGATATAAAATGTTTCATGAAAATCCATAACAGCTTAACCACCAGTAGCTGAAATGTTATGTAGAGATATCGTAATAGTAGGGCAGAGCATTTGTTTCCTTGATAGCTTGAAGTATGTCAAGCTCCCACTAAAGCATATCAAAATTGATCAAAATCAGAATGATCAAAATCTTGCATGTCTTACCAAGTCGGATTCCATATTTCGACGGGTCTTTTAATATCCAAATTTTAATGGAGTATTGTCAACGAGATTCCTCCAAAACCCTACTACAGTTTTCAGCTATACAATATTGATAATTTTCTGGTAAATTCACCAGATTCCGCCTCCTCAGAGAGAAAGAGAGACATATATGGAAATGAAGCGGGAAAGGAAACAAAGAAATTTACCCAGAAAAATAAAAAACACGAAAATGGAACTCCCACATCTGCGCAATTTACATTTTGTCCTTTTGTACCGATTCGAATTCGGATTAGCACGAACACAAACTCACGTTGAATCGCAGCCGTGCATTGAAAATATCTTTCCATGAATGATAAATCAAGGAATTTGGATTGACTGAATGGTTAAATCGTGAAAAATAGAGTTCGGCAAAGCCCATTCGGGCAGCTTTGCATTGAAAATATCTCCTAATTTGTATGTTTTATTTTAGAGAAAATGACAGTTCAGTTTAGGGTTAAAATTTATAGGCTCAAAATATATTTAAGGTAAGTGTTAATTCGGAATTGATGCTAATTCAAAGACGGGTATGAATCCATAGAGTGAATTTTTTAGATTATAAATGCAGTGAAAATAAAAAATCTAATAATATTTATTCATTTATTTTATGAAGAGATATTTTCAATGTAAGATTGTAAAAAGCTATTAGAATGATATGAACACAGATTTTGCTCTAATAGAAATAGATCTCATGAACACGTGATAATGAAATCCACACTTGAATGGCTGTGAGGCCCAGTGACTCTACAGCCTGCTCTAATAGCAATTGGTTCAGCTAATCCTATCTCTAAATCAAGTAGGAGAAATGGTCTCAATGTATGGCTAATCCAATATTACTAAGAATTCTATCAAAATTTCGAGTTTAGATTTGCTCTGCACACCAACCTCCTAGAAATTGGAGCGCACATTTAGAACATATTCTTATTTTAGAAATTGGAGCGCATATTATTCACACCAACGCCCCACATGTAATCTCAGCGTGCATTGAAAACATTCAATACACGATTAGGATATGCTGCCGGGTGTATATGCGGATTCCTTATTTCAATTTGTAAATTACTAAATTATCATTGATGGAAAAATTATCAATACATAGCTGCAATGCCCTGTGAAGTCCGTGTGAATCGCCTTCTGTGATGAATAAATTGAGATCAAATTGCCCCTCACAACGTTCCATAGTACATTTTTTATACGAGTTGATGACATTTCCCAATAATAAAATCATTTTTTCTGATATTAACATTGGGATACGTTTTCAATACAGGGCGAGGATATATTGTGGGACGTTGTGGGGGGCAATCTTGTGAGTGCTGATTTGAACTCAAATAAATTCCAAAATTCTTTGTACCTACAATTCAGCCTTGCATTGAGAATACCTCCCTGTGACGTATTTTATTATGATGTTCCTGATATACCGCTAAGACACCTTGACATAGAATGAAGTTTAGCTGCATTTAATGGCAACTGGCAGGGACTGTTTAACTAATAAAATTGCCCACGTGGATTGAACAATTAAAACCCCTTGTGTATATGATTCACAACTATTCCAATTTCACTTCCGTGCATGACTGATGTGCGGCTGACAGTTGATGAATTGGGATATGCTCTTAACAGAGCGTGCCTCACACCAACTCACAGTCATATCTGATCCTGTATTGGGATCTCACAGCTACATCTGATTCTGTATTGAGAACATCTCCCTAGGAATAATAAATACAAGTACGGAGATGTTTTAGATGTAAGGTGTGCTCTGGGAGGAGCATATCCAGACTCACTGTTTGTGGGGTATCATTAATGATACTCGAGATCTTCTGCCTATAAGAATTCTACCCAGGCCTATTCACATAATACTATCTCTGTGCATTGAGAATATCTCCCCCATACATAATAACATATAAGAGGATGAGATGTTCTCTACTTGTGGCTGTAATGTTATATCATGGACAGGTAATCTAGACACTAGACTGACAGCCCTGAGACTGCCATCAAATCAAATGAAGTTAATCCCCATTCAATCCAAATAATGAGTGTTTGTTTTACACTTAAGGCTCAGTTTTGGAGGAATATAAATACAAATATATACAGTACAATAGATATAAAATACAAGGTTTTACACTGTATACAAATATATACAGTACAAAATTGGTTTTTTGTGTGATAACCACTTGAAACATGTCTCATTTCATCATCATAATAAAAAGAGATGATGATAGAGGCTTTAACTAACCAAACTAGTTATATAACATAATACCTCTTCCAAGTTCATGAGCAGACAGACGCACACACAGAACAGCAGAGTATTAATTATTATTCTGTAAATTAAGGTGGTGTTTGGCATTGATGTTGGATTCCACGTAGGCACCACATCAGAAAAAGTGGTGTTTCAGAAAATGACATCTTGTTTGGTACCGTTTTTCCAAAAATAGAAAATGTTGTTCTAAACCACGTTTTAAAAATCGGAAAAGTGTGGTATGAAGAAATGCTAAAATCAATATTTTCTCAGAAAACAGTCTATTGTTGCCAGCGGTGCAATGATGTGGCATCATCTTGGACATTGGATAATATAGCTAGTGTTTGGCATTGATGCCATTTTATGAGAAAATGACGCCAAGTAGGTGCTACATCAGAAAAAATTGGTGCTTTATTTGGTACAAATTTTCCAAGAAAAAGATTGCTTCAAACCACGCCTTGGAAATTGTTTAAGACCACGTATCATATTGGATGTTGGATAATATGACCAATGCTGAAAACAGTTCTACAGCACTAGTACCAAACAAAACCAATGGGAAAATGGTACAATTTGACATGCCAAACACCCACGTAGACCAATGCTGAAAACAGTTCTACAGCATTGATATCAAACAAATCAAACCAGTGCTGTTTTCCCAAATAAAACATACTACGTGACAGCACCGTTTTCAAACAAAAAGTAAGCACTGTTTTCTCATAAGATGATGCTTACAAGTCAGATATACACAGTGCTGTGTTCCAGGCACCGATGCCAAACACCTACTAAATGAAAAGAATGAAAAGAATAAGCACCGACTGGCATTACCACCACAACGGTAAATGTAAATAATAAATGGAACAGCCAATCTCTGTGTGGCATTCAGATGAAAAGTGTTAACTCTCAACCTTTAATTAATCCCCCTAACTCTGGTTTTCTGATCAGTTCTGATTGTTTTGTCGACAATCACATGCCAGTAATTGCTCTAAATTTTGGGTGCCGACGAGGCAAAGCAGCAGATTTCCGACGATCATTTCTGGAAAGATTGCTCGATATCGCCTTGTATGCATTATTATTTCCTTTTTAAGTGAGGATGGTGAGGCCTTAAAAGAAAATCACAAAAAGTAAGGCGCAAACAAATTAAAAGAGGAGCTCCCAATCTCCCACCTTGGCTTCTTCATCGTCCCTTGAGAGTTGAGACTTTTTGGTTTGGGAGTGGGAAGGACTTTGATCACTTGTTCAAACAACACCACCAACGGCCCAACCCGTAGAAATCCAACACATCCTCCACCTAAGCTTTTACAACGCATTCGACTGTTTTGACAGTTCGGCCTGACTAGTGACTAGGTACGAGAACGAGTTACTACGACCTTGAACTTGATAGGTGGGTTGGGCCAAGCCATGAGCGGACCTGGCCTGGGACTTCTAAATCGGAAAGGATCCGATTGATGGGCCAGCTGCTAGATGGTGGGGAGTACGAAGAGTATGGGCTGCTGCTACTCAGGAATCGTCCACGTAGCAACAAAGTTGCACTTGCAACCCAAAAGAGTCTCGTGCCTTTCCATTCATGTGCATGCATATTTTAGATTCAGAGCATGACCCACATCACTTCACGTGCATTTTTATCTTAAACAGATCCACTGCTGCACAGATAACTTCGGGACCGATCCCTACCACTGTTCTAACATTTACTTGGCATTTTAGGCAAAGGCTGTTCTAATTTAATGGGCTTTCTGATCGGCCCAATTGGCTGGGACTGACTAAACTTGGGATCGACCCACTTATGGATGGCCGTTATCAAGGGTTTACGTCCATATCCAGCACACTAGCACTGTTTGACTGCTTATCTAGATAAGGATATATTTGATAACAGCTGACATGGCTCAACATAATACTAAAAACTTTGTCTTTTAGCGGATCAAATATTCGAGGGCACAGTAATCAATTTAACTTCAGCTTCAGCCATTAAAGACTTGACAAAACAATAAGGGTCCGTTTGGTTTGCAGTCAGAATCAGAATTGGTCAAAATCCTTTAGAATCAGAATTAAAATCGGAATAGTTCATTCCTATAGTCTGTCTGATTCAGACAGAAATTGGAATGGAAATTGAAATTAGCAGAAATAAGATTTCATTCTCAATAGAGGGACAGGGAATGGCCATTTCCTTAAATAGGAAATGTCATTCTAGCAAAAATGGGAATGAGATTCTGATTCCATCCAACCAAACAGATGAAATTGGAATAGCCCATTCCGATTCCGATTCCAAACCCCTATTTATACGAACTAAGCGGGACCTAAGTTGTTCAGTTTGGTCTTTTCAGCTATTATCAGACGGCCTGTAATAGATCCAGACAAATGCATCCATGAAGGCTTACCACCACACACCAAAAGTGGCAAGAAAGTAAAAAACAATGCCAACTGGCAACTGGGAATAAAGAGATAACCCAACACTATGTAACTGATCAAACTGCTGAAATAAGAAGAGAGAAATAGTGAGCACTGGTATCAAGACTTATGTATGAGACCTCTGCAATGGCGCAAACAAGTAGAATGTAGGATTGGTTTGGAGACTTGGACTTACCCTGATCTATACATGTTATCTTAAGTTCTTAACAAAAAAAAAAAAAAAGCTCTGTTTGAGCTATTAAATGGTTCAGAACATTCAAAGGAAATGTAATATGGTCTGGCAGGTGTATAATTGTATATTGATTTTGGTGGAACGGGCCGCGGTCAGAAAGCCCAGCCCTGTAATGGTTTAAGGCCTAAATCCAGCCTTGATTACTTTTAGGTAAGTGTAAATTAAGACTTACAAGTTACAAGGTATCAAGCTATAAGAAGAATAGGTTCAGGGAATACAATGAAAGGCATGTTGAGACTAATATTGACAAAGTGGATAAATCATGGAAAACAATTATTTGGAAATCTCCCAATATCGGTTATACCAACATCAACTTTGATGCTTCTAAAAATGGGGAGGGTTTTTGCTTAGTTGCGAGCATTGTTAGAAATCATTTCGGGAAGGTCTTTGACATCAAGGCTTATAAGCTTGGCATTGCTTCAATTAACATTGCAAAAACTTGGGCGACTTGGGAAGTCCATAATTTGGCCTTGAATTTTAGAGATTATCCTATCATTATCAAAGAT